CCCGAAGCATGACTCAATGCATGACACACAGGCCGAGCCTTATTGCAGACGGAGCTCATTTTTCGATGAATTCTGTTAACTCTGATCGATCGATCGCGACGGAGATGAGGCAATGCTTTGCCGAAGATACAGCGGTGATAGAGATAACAGCAGTAGCAGCAGCAGTAACGCTAGTAGTCGCTGTAACAGTATTAGTAGCGACTTCTTTAGCGCTCGGTTGATCGTGATCAAAAAGGGTGGACTCCCATAGGAGTCCATTGTTTAAAATAAGGTCATCATCGCGATTTCGATCAACGACAGGATAAAGAACAAGGGGATTGCTTACGAGCGAATCCAGCAGGTTAATAAGGGGATTGCTTGCGAGCGAATCCAAGGGAATTAAGTTGCAATAAGGGGAAGGACTACCGATGAAGATAATGAGAGGAAACTCAGGACTCTGCATCAAGGGATAGCTCATTCCATTGACAACCATAACGGATAGACATATAAGAATAAGAATGAGTAACATCTCATAACCTCGCATGCTACCATGCGACAATACCATTGTGGATTGATTAATCTAACGATCTAAGAGATGTAAACTTTGTATTTCCAAATAAGTGAGCAGTTATTGATTATTTTCTAGAATAAGCCTGCTAATGATAAAGCTGTAAAGCTGAATTGTAAGCTGTATCCCGTCGCATGGTGTACCTGGTAGTGGCTGAATAGCCTCGGTCTATTTTGACCGCTCACGTAGTTCGGTGGAACTCGTGGTTCTGTATGGGACCTTGGGTAGTAGCGAACTGCCTCTGTTGGTCCTTTCGTTGCCTCTGTTCTTCTGCAGATGACCTTGGTATGCTTGGGTGGTTACACTGTGTGAGTATTACAGTTTGAATCAGGCAAACGATGGAGTTTTAGGACTCCGTGTGGTTTACCGGGATTTTTGTGTTTCTCTTCACAATAGCACTGTATCACTCGAATCAACCTATCTCACTCAATTTTCAGAGTTAGAAGCTTGCACTGATACTCAGAGATGCGGCTAGATGTCCTCTATTGATTGATGTATGGGACCGCTTGCTTGCAACGTCTGTGTCAGGATCTATCTTGATCCCCGTTCGATGACTTCTGCTCGTTGTGATGAGATGTATCGAAATCTCGCGCGATGACACGATGACACGATGACACGATGACGTAATCGACTGTAACTCTAGGAATAACAGCCGGATTTCCGTCGTTCAAGTATGAAATCGCCTTGTAATCGCGTGTTCTTTACACTGGTACCCTTGGATGTCCGTAGTTCCGGCCAGAAACTGTTAGACGATCATCGTACCTCGATTTTCCACTTGAAGATGGGAATCCCGCGCAAGCACCTCTTTCGTGTTAGAGCTGTTTGGTATCCTTTATAGTGTAGCTAGAGCCTGATTCTGCGCACCTCTTCTCTGTTGCAGGTGTTGACTCACTTCAAGTCAATTGAACTTGATGTCTTTGACTTGTTTTACCTTGATATGGATCTCGAGATCGGTAGTAGCTCGAGATGGCCTTTTGCTTTTCAGTGTTGTTTGCTAGTAATACTGCAGCTTATTGGGGAGTAATTTGGTTTTAGATTAAGCTGAAAAGCAAAAGTGAGGATTTTCTGGTGGTGCATAGCAATTCTTGTGATTGAATTGGATATAAGGACCCCCGTAACACTTTAGACCTAAAACTCCCTTGGTTCCTTGCATGATGAATTTGCATGCGAACCGGACTAGATGATTAATACACGAGTCAATAGTAAAGAGGTGTCAGGTATGTTTCCTCCAACACTAGCTGGAGGTATCTGCGAATAACTGAAACCTTTCTGCCTAGATTTCACAGCTCCACTGGCTTAAAGTTTACACCAAAAGTTCTGTTTTGTTGACGGAACTACGTGACTGATGCCTAGTATCCAGGATTTATCAGGGGCTCCAAAATAGCTTCCAAAATCCAGAACCTTGTTTCGCAATAGTTCCAAAGTACGATGTACGTGACGCTCAGAACCAACCTGAAGATTCTGGTCTGTGTGTTTGAATGATCAATCCAATCCAATCCAATCTGACGGAAGTCATGCTTCTGTTCTTTCACAGTTCATGGTATAAAAAGACGTACTGGTACTACTAGCCTACTAGTAGTACCTGGTACACCTACGGAAAAACACTTCAACCAGAGGAAATACTTGCAGCCAAAGCGACTCGACTCAAATCGATTATCATTCGATTGATTCGATTAAATCATTCGAGTTTTGCCTACCGGTACGGTAGCTACTATTAGCTAGCTAGCTAGTGGAGTGGGCTACCGGTAGCTAGAGACGAGTCGAGTCCTCAGGAGCGTCCCTCAGTCGTGCAAAACACCCCTAAAAATAGGGGCAGGTTTGAAATCCGCCCCTAAATCCAGCTTAGATAGGGGCGGATTCCAAATCTGCCCCTGAATGGTAAAAACGCCCCTAATTTTAGGGGCAGTTTAAGAAACTGCCCCTAATATTTAGGGGCGGAATTCAAAACTACCCCAAACAGTAAACAGGACTGTACTCAAAATATATTGAAAACGCCCCTATTTTAGGGGCGGGTTTGAAATCCACCCTAAATGAAGACTATTTTAGGGGCGGATTTAGGGGCGGATTCTCCAAAATGCCCCTATTTTTAGGGGCAGGTTTCAGAGAAACCTGCCCCTAATGGAAACCTGCCCCTAAACTCTGCCCCTAATTTCGGATGTTTGGATTTAACTACACCCACGATTGAGGAACGCTCCAGTCATTTGCGATTGTTTCTAAAGTTTGATCCGTTATTTAAAAAAGTACTGCTAGTAGCGGTACCTCTATTACGGTAGATACCTAACAATTACACGGTATAGTACCCTACATGTCTACATCACATACATGGTCGAAGTCATCACAACAATGTAATAAGTACAGTCAACATTCAGATATATATACTGGGGGGGATTCAGGAATTCAGTAAATATAACAGCGAGAATAAATATTGATTTTATCCCTAACCCTAACTATTCCCGTAGAATTGTACGTGCTCTAGTACTAAAATAGGGTTAGAGTTAAAAATGTGGGAACTGGAGTATTCTTAAATATTATAGAGCGAATAAATACAAGATTATAAATATAAGCGAGCGTTGACTGTAATAAGCTCTCAATTCTCAATGTCCTTTTTCGGGCGGACTAGCTAGTACTCCAGTACTACTCAGTACGTCGCAAGATAGGCCTCCCAATGCAGGTTTCTTCGTCAATGTTTTTCTGGTTGTCCTTTAAATCCTGAGGCATTCTTTTTCTTCTGGTCATCTCCGATACTGTAGTTCTGTCTGTGCGGTACTATTAGTACTTGTCGTCATCTCCGATACTCAGTACCAGGGCGTGGTACTCACACTGTTTTAGCATGTGAGTATGGGTACTGAGTAGTACTCACAATACCAAAGTCAAGTGAGTATGGGTACTGGGTAATACTCACAATTCCCAGGGTCAAGTGAGTACGGGTATCATGTGAGTACAGGTACTTTGTGGGTACTATAGAGTACTCACTGAGTACTCATAAATCAATTACTTAGGGAAATTATCTAGGTTTTTCTAGTTCTGGGCTGGGGGCTCATTACACATCATGGCGAGGAGTTTGTCATCCTGCTTACAGCTTGAAACGCTCGCACCGTAGCGTCGCAACTCACTTGGGATTCGCCGGAATAGTTTCTTGGGAATCTTATGTAGTTCCTCGACTTTGACTGTCCTAAAACCAATCCTCTCAGTGGTGGAAGGAAGGTAACTTCCATCCCCGTCATCTTTGGGTTCATCAAACTGCGGAGAGCCATCAAACTTGGTGGGGTACCAACTTGCAGTGCATTCCACTTTTCAGTGTCATTGGTAGCTTTGGTTCGGCGAGTCTCCGGCACCCAAACCACAGTGGAGTAACAATAAGAAGCAACACACGTATGTACCATAGGCAGTATACAAAATACTCACAATACTCACCGAGTACTCACTGTACTCACTTCGAAGTACTCACCGAAGTACTCACCGAAGACTCAAAAAGTACTCAAAATCCGAGTCATGTGAGTACGGGTACTGAGTAATACTCACATTTCTGAGGTCATGTGAGTATGGTACTGAGTATACTCAGTACTCAGTACCCGTACTCACATCGAGTACACGCAGCGTGTATTTCATGTGAGTCCCACACCCTGCTCAGTACCGTACTGTAGTTCTGTCTGTCCGCTACGTACCGTACCGGTTGAGGGATGAATAGAGTGCACTCCCTGAATTTAAGATATATTTCAGAAAGAACCTGCGCTCAGTAGTTAACTTTTAGATTCGTGACGTATGGTACCGGTATTGTACGAGCGATTGCTACTACCGGTATAGACTACACGTGTACTTATCGTGCCGGTATCACATTATGATATCAAAACGTATCTTATAATCAAGGCAAATAGCGCTGCCAATAGTTTGTACGAAAGTTCCGAAAGTGCCAAAGGAGAGCTCAAAGGCGCACGTTGATTAGTGCGGGCCCTGTGCAGGCCTGCGAATCAGCAAAACATCAGGTGTACTGAGTAAGAAAGCTTCTTCAGGAGGAACCAATTAATTGTTCATGCCCGTACAACCGGTACAGGCCCGTACAACCGGTACTGGGACGTACCGGACGGTTGGTAGCAATGTTGGTGGTTCGGACACAGGACAACATGTCGCCACTATTTTAAAATAGCTTTTCCAGCCATGGGCCTTTCACAAAGCCGCGAATCGCGGATACGTAGCGTGCGCATGCACCAGTCGCCACCTGCCATCCAACCAACAGACGAGTTCACAGTTCGGGTACTAGCGTACTAGCTAGTAACCAGACACAGTTGGATGGTTGAGCGGGCGGAAGGCTTCTGGGCGCTTCGATCATAATTTCCATTATTATTTCACCTCAAACATAAAAGCGAAGGCGGCAACGAAGCTGCTCTGAAGTCATTCCTATTTTTGCTTTCTTTCTTTGCCAACCACAATAATCTATCCAAGACGAGACGAGACAATGGCTGACTTTGGATTGACGTACAACTATCAAGATGAAGGCTACAGTCAATGGGCGAAAAACAGTGACTTGGAAAGTCTACCAGATGTTGGAAACCAGGGGTTAGACTACAATACCGGTACCGGCAACTGGAACACCACTGCTCAAATTGGGCAGCACTACGTGCAGGCTCCCGTCAACACAGTTCCCATCAATGGCGGCTACCAGTACCAACAGAACCCGGGTTACAACGTCATGTACCAACAGAACCCGGGTTACCAGCAGTACCAACAAGATGCTGGGTACCAGTACCAACAAGAGGTAGGTCATCAGTTCCAACAAGGTTACCAGCACCACCAGGAAGCGGGTTATCAGCAACAACAGGAAGCGGGTTATCAGCAACAACAGGACGTGGGTTACCAACACAACCAACAGGAGCCGGGGAATCAGTACCAACAGCAACAGGGTGCGGGTGTCCAGTACCAACAGGAAGCGGGGTGCGAACAGGAGGCGGGTGTCCAACACCAAGAAGATCCGGCGGAAGTATTTTTCGACATTGACCAAAGTGCTCGCAGCGCCTCGAGTGACATTACAGAATCGGAGTTTGGCGGGTTCGGAGGTGAAGGAGCCGATCAAGGAGATGACGAAGAAGATGCCATTATTGGAGCGATGCTGAAAGACCGAGCGTCACACGAAGACGAGGCCAAGCAGAAGCGAGTGAACAATCGAGACGCGTCTGGATCAGGAACAACTGAGGACAACAAGGATCAAGACATGGAAGATGAAAGTGACCGCAATGACAGAGGTGATCCCCTTGCCGCTGCTGTTCGGAGAGAGAGGAGGAAGAGCGGAGTAGGAATGCCTTTCATGCGTACTGTTACCAACAGTTCTCGAGACCAGAGTGTGAAAACAAGTCGAAGCGGCAATGACAAAGGTGATCCCCTTGCTGTTGCTGTTCGGAGGGAGAGGAGGAAGAGCGGAGTAGGAATGCCTTTCATGCGTACTGGTACCAACAGTTCTCGAGACCAGAGTGTGAAAACAAGTGTAAAGGGACTGCCCTTGATGCGTACTGGTACCAACAGTTCTCGGGACCGGAGTGTGAAACCGATTGGAAGCTTGGATGACGGAGGTGGAGCCATTGCTGCTGCTGTTCGCAGGGAGAGGAGGAAAAGTGGAGTGGTACCTCCTTTGATGCGTACTGGTACCAACAGTTCGCAAGATCGGAGTGTAAAACCAATTGGAGATGATGACGATGAAGCTCGAGAGGCTCCAAAGGTCACTCGGAGACAAAGCTTTCGGCAACTGATCATCAATACTCAACCTGATACAGAATCAAAAGAAGATAGTCCTGACAATGCTCCTCGAGTGAAGCGAAGCCAAAGCTGCAAGAGTCTGTTAAAGAGTAAAGATGAATCTGTACCACTCAAGAGAAGAGGCAGCTCCAGGAATCCCATGAGGGCAGCGAATGCTGGAGAAGACCCTCTACTAATCAAAAGAAGAGGCAGCTCCAGGAACCACATGAAAGCAGCGAATGCTGGAGAAGACCCTTTACCAATCAAAAGAAGAAGTAGCTCCAGGAACCGCATGAAAGCAGCGAATGCTGAAGAAGACCCTTTGCCAATCAAGAGAAGAGGTAGCTCTAGACACCTAAAGAAGGCCAGCAGCGGGAGGTCCCTTTGCACCACTGGCAGTGAAGATGGAGCACCACCTACGAAAAGGACAAGCACCGATGTCACCCGCCGACCCAGGAGAAAAGGAAAATCTCCTATGAACAGCGGCAGCACCAGGGGTCTCAGGACTAGAGAGGGTGTCACCCGAGAGCCTCCTGCGCGGGCATGTAGCTCGAGAGAACCTCGGCCCATCGAAGAAGCCGAAAGTCTTCGCAAAATTGCCCAGCTCAAAAAGAGACATGCGGTATCAGACCCGGCTCTCACGAAGGAGGAAGATAAGAGCGTCCGGCGCAGTCTATCCTCTGCTTCGACACAAGATGAAGAACGTGGAGGTGACAAGAAAGGTGGCCCTAATGCCAAGTGGGAGGCCAAGGGCGAGAAGAAGCACATTTCTCATAGAAAGTCCATCTCGGGAAACCTAGTAGGAATGCTGGGATCGTTTGGCGCCTCTCTCAAGGGCAAGAAGAAAAACAAGTCAAAGGAGGAGCCCGAGGAGGAGCCAGAAGAGGAATCTAAGCGGGATTTCGAGGAGTCTGAGAAAGAAGCTGCCACGGCAACACTGAAGCCTAGCGGATCTTGCACATCTATCGCCAGTTTAGCTTCTCAGAGCACTCGCCGGTCCAAGCCAAGGGTTCGCCGTTCAAGCAGCAGGAAGCCAGGGCGAAAGGATCGTCCCTCAAGGCGAGATAGTGGCCGAAGCCTTCATTCCGAAAGGACGGGAAACTTTTCTTCGAAATCAAGGGCGCAAAACGGCTCTGACCAAGCCCCTCGCAAGGAAGAGCGAACGATTAGCACGCAAGAAAGAGAGGAAGAGACCGAGGCAACCAAGGCTAGTGATGGTACAACTTCGTTGATCCCTATGCAAATCTCAGTGTCTTCTTTGCTTGACGAATCATCTGCAGCGGACGTCGTCTCGCTTCAACAATCGACTATCAGTGGCTTAGACGAGGGAACCATTGTCCTCACACCCGAAGAGATGAAACATTGGCGATGCACCTGTGGTGAGGTCAATGAAAAGCTGTACAAGTTTTGTGGAATGTGTCGTGAAGCCCAGGTAAGTGGAGGAACTGGAAAACCCCGTCATTACGTTGTCACGATGGCAACAACACCACTCACATTTTGCGTTTGCTGCACATCAGAAATGGACATGTGCTATGTGTAGGTTTGAGCACAATAAGTGTCGTTTCCAATACTGTGGAGAATGTGCAAGTCCCAAGATGGTTCTGAAGGTAGACAGATCAAGAATTTTGCCACAAGACAGTGACGACCTTGGTGTCTCCCAATGCGCTGCGGCGTCGTAAACTGCACATGATTAATTATTACGAAAGAATGTACCAATTAAGATTTCAAATGTATCGCAACAGTGAATGGTGTCCTCATGATAGTCGCCGTGTCGAAGCGACACGGACAATGCACTATCTTGCTAGCCAACAAATATCTTTGTGGAAGTGCTTTCGGATAGATAGATACCCAGCATTTGCCGATAACCAGCCAAGGGTTTGCCAACGCAACAGGCAGCCACCGTGAGCTAGCTAGTCCTCTGTGGCTGGAAACCCAACTGCATGCATGATGCTTGGAGCACATTATTCAGACCAATGATCAGGAGTCCGGACGGTACTTTGGCATTCAGCCAGCCACAACTCAACCACTCAAGCCTGTTTGGATACCCCCCCGTCAACCCGATGCCCGATTTGGTTGGAGCCAATGTATGTATGTAGTGTGAAGCAAACAGTTTTCTGGCTCTGTTGAGAGCCCATGTCTCCCAGCATGATGGTAGACATATGGCTATGAGACCCAGCTTGATGGTCTAGAATACACGGTAATGGAATCACCATCACCGTTAGTTGTGGTAGGAAGACCACTACACGTCTTGTAGGCTCTCCCCTTCCCAGTGGCAGCCAGGTCTTCAAACCCACTTTTCTGCAGCAAAGCCAAGTTGATCTACCAGCTAGACTGGAAAGGGAGTTCCAGTCAAATTTTGAGAGAGGGGAAGATGTCTGCACCAAAGGTTTGCTGGTCAGTAGATGCCCCCCTTGGCAGGCCAATGTGTCCATCTGAGCTGCGTCCTGTGTCCTGTGGTGGCATCTGGACTGGTTGACATCTCCAGTGATGTACTCCAGTTCTCCAAGCTGTAAACGTGTTAGCTTACCTATGCGAGAGTACCCAACGGTGTAGTGCGGTTCATCACAGGTTCCTGTATTCAAAGAGCTAGTGAATCGGTGGTTGGGTGCCATAGGCACATCAGACCTAATGAGTTGTAAAGAGAGCTATATGGAACATTAAAAGGATATCAAAAGTCTACATGTATAGAACCACCAGGAAAGGGTGGTTCGAGCTAGTACATATCGAGCTGGCTGATGGAAGGGAGGATGATCAGCCTTCAATATAGATTTCGGAGAGGGGAGGAGCAAATTCCAGGCTGGAAGGATCTTCCCAACTGTCCTGGGAGGAGCCATCTCTTAGTAGTTTTGGCTTTCGTTTGGTCTTTCCCGTTTGGTAGTCGACAAACTCACTGAGGAGCTGTTGGCCATGGCTGGAGCTCTTTAGCTGCTTGACCATCTTGAGGATATCGTCGACTTCTCCGTCTACAAGCTCCTTGCTGTAATTCAGTTTGGAAACAGACCCCTTGCTGCTGGCGCTGCCACTGCTCTTCCAGAGACTGCTGAGGCTGCCGTTGGACCCCCCCTTGCCCTTGCTGACCAAACGTGTCAAGTCATTGTGAGAGGATCTCTTCTTCTTCTCCTTACCCACTGCATCCGACGCGAGTCGAAGAAGATCGTTGTGAGAATTCCGTTTCGAGATCTTCTGTTGTCCACTTCGCTTGGTCTTTCTTCGTCCTCCTTTCCGGGGATTTGTGTTGTCCTTGTCAATGGAATCAGTAATGGGGGTGGTGTTGCTCTCTGCTTCTTCCTGAGAACCAATAAGCGCCGACAGCTTTGGGATGGAAAATACTCTCTTCATTGATGGAGCCATGGTTATCTTCTTCTTCTTCTTTGGTTGACTGAACTTGGTTTTTTATGGAGGCTGTGGAGAATTCTGCAAAGGATTGATTCAAGGTGCTTGTTTCTTCGAATTGTGAGCAAAGATTTGTTGACACCTATTGCCTCTTTCTTTGCCAGCCGGCACCGCCTTTAGCGTGTTCACGTCTGCACCCGCTGCATGCACTCATGTGGCCAAGTGGAGTTCTCATTAAGTAAGCTTACTGGACATCTTCAACAAGTGAAGGCTGTGGAGAATTGTAGAACTTGCGTCAGCGACCCCTACTGTTCGCTCCAGCATTCCCTGTTTTAAAATACTCAACAGCCAATCAAAAAGGGTTGTGCTTTGCTAATTAAAAAACACTGGTTACTCTGGCCTTCAGTAGTTCAGTACTACAGCACTAATAGCTAGTAGGGCACTCCACTACATACAATGATAGTCAAAAGATTGTGGCCATTGATAATTCTTTTGGGAGCAATCTTGTCGAAGAATGGAGGAAGCCTTCTTTGTCAGTACAAAAACGTATAGCTCCGAGTGAATAGACTTTGATAGTTAGTTGTGATCTAAAAGTCCGCGTCAAGCAATGCTACGTCAGAGCGACTGGATAGTACTGCATTTGCACTACTTAAAAATTGGAAAAAGGCTGGAAGTCCAGAAAGGAAAGCATTCCGACCACTGTAGTTACAGCTGGCATTCTATTCCCCATGCTCGAGAAATCCAACCAATTTCAGGTACGGTAGACTAGAACAGGCTTCATGTACCAGTTACCTGGTAGTTGGATTACTCCGTGCATGTACTACTAGTACTTAGTACACGGAGTGACCGAGCGACAGTCGGTACCAGTAGCAGTACTGGTACTGGTGGTACTGGTACCAGAAGTACTTAAGTGGGCGCTCTGTTTAGGTCAGCTTAGGGATAGATAGGCTCTGATTGCAGCGTATCCCCGGTACCGGTACTACTACCTGGTACCGGTACCGGTAGCTAGTGATAGTACAGACGCGTGCGGTAGGCTACTCCGCAGGAAAAGTCCGGATCCAGAGTTTTTAATACAGGCTGGCTTTGCTTTGCAAGTGAAACAAAGAACTACCTGTAAATAAATTTTAAATTTAGATAAATGGAGCCAAAATGAACTCAATTATCAAAATAGAAACAAAACAAAAACTTAAAATTCGGAATACCTTTATATTAAGAAACTTCGTGAGGTGAGTTTGAGGTACAGTTAACGCTCGCTTATATTTATAATCTTATATTTATTCGCTCTATAATATTTATTATATCTCGAGTTCCCCCCCCCCAGTCACGAGTGACCGTGAATGACGTCAGTACACCCTTCGCAAATCTCGTAGCAGCAAAACAATCGCTCGCAATCCATCGCAAACGGTCCAATTCGACAGAGACATACGTGTAAATGCCAATGCATGCCAATGCATGCCGATGAGGTGCCAATGGGAGTTCGCTTGCCTGTCCATTCTCTGCCAGTCCGCGCAAATCTTCGTTCGTGGGGTTTTTCATGGTGTTTTCGCGAGATTTGCGCAGAATGGCAGAGAGGAGACAAAAACAATTCTCTGAGCAACAAAACAAGTGCAAGCAAACCATAACAATTCCTCCAATCCGACCTATGGACGTTGACCCGGAACCTGCCGATGTGTTTGCCTCATTTGCCGAAGCTGAAGAGGCGCTCAATAAGCTGTCCGAAAGTGCCTCCAGCTTGGGTATCAACCAAGCTGCTACTGTGCATCTTGATAGGTTTGCCAGAGCCTTGAATATGGCCAGGGCGACAAGGGCTGGCAAACGCAAACGTGATGGCACTCTCCACTCGTTCTTTACTAGTGGTTAGTAGCAGTAACGCTCTATATTTAGACACACTGTTATAATTACTGGATTCCTGAATCCCCCTGTATATATATCTGAATGTTGACTGTAATTAACTTTTCGCCCTCAGTTTTTGCTCATCACAACACCGTTCTCTGGCCAAGGACTACAAGACTAATATAGCATGTACACCACCAAACTAAACAAGTAGAGTTGTCTACACTCTTTGCTTGTTGCAGCCATGTGCTGGTTGTAGTGGTAACAGCCATGTAGCAGGCATTATCTTATGTCAAACTAGATGCTTCATTTTTCTTCCAAATATTCCCGAGTTCTCAGCTTCACCTTTATTTCGGACTGTGCCACCCTTCTGCTATCAATACAGTCATATCTATTGATTTAATGTGTCCATTAGGGAGAATCATACCACTGAAAGTGAGTAGAAACAACGACATTGACGACGACGGATCGATACCATTTTCGGATCGATACCATTTTCGGCCTTCGACCATGATTATCGCATAGAAAACAGCAGCTTGGCAGTCTCCAGCCTTTCTTGGCCGAATAGGTGTAGACATGACTGCAATGATAGGGCTCAATTTGACCGGAATTGGGATCTAAGATCAGCTAGAGACTGGTGGCACCAATAGAAAATGCAAAACTTAGTTCCTCACTTTGCTAGCCGTTCGTTACTTTCACGGCCGTCAAATGGCCAAGCCACTACCACCACTGCAACCGGCACATCCAAATTATGCATTTCCTATCTCAAAGTATTGCTAGGGTGGCTCTATGGGTTAAAATGCTAGGGCATCTTTGACAGCCAAGGTGGCGTGTCTAAAAATGGAGATGGTGCTGTGCAGGAACAAGCCAAAAATCCTCCACAAGCATTCAAAAAGCTGATGCCATGATTCCGTGGTGACCTGGACAATTTGATTCCGGGTGTTCCAGAGGCATCCGGACTTTCTACCCAATCCGGACTTTTCCTGCGGAGTAGTAGGCAGTCGGCAGACAGCCACTGAGGCCAATCAATACGGTACGTCTGCACGGCTGTACGGAACTGTTGGCACTATCACAGCTCCACAATAACTTACTTGATTGAATGATCCATCGTCCCGGGGGGGTGGCTGAAACCAACCGTGCATGCCTTTTCTTGAGTTTTCCCGCATTATCGCCGAAAAATACTGCGGTCGAACGCGGTAAACAGAGGTGAAAGATGGTATAAGAAGGTACTTTTAGAATATGCCAATTCAGGTGGTCGAAGGCGGTAGAACAGGCGATCGAGGGCGGTAGAACAGGCGGTTGAAGGTGGTAAAACAAGCCGTTGAAGTCGGTTGAAGGTGGTCGAGCGCGATAAGAATTGGTAAAAAATGGTTGAAAGAGGCTAATTACTCAAAGAAATTGGTCTCGGGTGATGCAGGAAATAGTAAGTTGATTTGAGCCACCCCCCGGTCCCCGGTATTGGTTGGAACTCACTCACACATTTTTAGAAGGTGGGGACGCGGCAAGACACCCTAGTAGATTTAAAGCTATATTTCGATACAAGCATACATAGAAGCAAGAAGCAACTGTTCTATAAGGGAGTGACCTTTTCTTCAGCAGAGAGTTGGATACGGGTGCAAAGTGTTTTGATCCCATGGTTGCTTCATTGGAGCAAATGCAACATACTTTTCGTGAATTAGTCTTGCATTCTCACTTTTGGCTGCATTTTAATGAATAATTCGAACTTATGTGTTTGGTTTAACGTGCTTTCAATGGTAGTTATTCTCGGGCTACCCAAGATCGTAATCTTGTCGTGATTTTTGGCCACTTTAAGATGACTGGCAAGTTGTCTTTAATAGTCTTCTAAGCCTTAGTGACACTTCTGTGCCTTCGTATTTATGCGAGAGACTTTTTGTGTACCATACTGGAACATTTCTCTATAAGTGGGTTTGGAGTTTTGGCAATCGCCAGTTCAAGGCAGAAGAGCCACCAAAACAGCTGATCGTGGGTCCACCATGATTGTATCAGGTAGATGTGGGTTTTGGGTTTTACTCCATTAGTAACCAAACAATTGTGTTTTACCTCAGCTTTCAAAAAGGCCTTGGAGGCTTCTGCCACCACAACACCCTCCCCAAACGAACTCATTACAAACGCCGAGGTCTCCCATATTTCGCACATATTGCCGAGGTCCATCAGGCAAGCTAGCTATTGGGAGACCATGAACAAAGGCCCCATGATGATGATAACGAACCAGCAAGCGGGTTCTGATTTGCTTCTTGGGGGTAGCCGCGAGGTTTGTGTGGAACCCCAACACTCGGGACATCGCCGCCGCAAGCTTTCCAAGTCCAAGTCGATGGACGAATCGACTCGCCGACATTGGGAATGTCGTCGTCGCCGAAGAAGCAGTTCTCGATCTATTCGAAAGACTTGCTCTGCCGGGAGTCTGATACTGACAACTAGCACAAAAGTGATGGATCCAATGGGAATTTCATCATCTTCCAATCGCCGAGATGCCATGGCGACGGGCTCTCGTCGGTCCAACAACACGCGAGACGCCATGGCGTGCTCTTCCAACCACGAGAACATCCCTGCGAGCAGTAGAATCAGTGTGTCGTCGTCGTCCTCCTCCTCTCGACAAGAGACCATGGACACTCCACAATGGAGCTGTGGATCGTGTGACCATGACAATGACGACTGCCACAAGTTTTGTGTGAATTGTGGAACTGCGAAAACATGGACGTGTGCGGGGTGCAATTTTGACAACAACAAGTGCAAATTCCAATTTTGTGGCATGTGTGGAAGTTCCAAGACTAGTACAGAAGCACAATTGCCAGAAGAAGCAACAGAGGGGGCAGCTGTCGTCGTTCTGGCCGACAATCAATGGCAATGCCGGGGATGCGAACAAATCAATACACGTCCCAACATTTTTTGTAGCATGTGTGGCAGCTCCTCCTCCTCCGCTAAACAAGATAAGGACGACGATGCGTCACTGTCACCAGGCGACGACGATGACTTGCCACCAAAGTTTGTCCTTGTCGATGAAACTGTCATGGAGGATCACGATGCGGACATTCACTACGTCTCGGCAAACTCCTTGCTGTTTGACGATAGTATGGAATGGTTTTCCGATTATGATGATGATGATGATGAAGAGTCCGAATATTCCGAATCGGAAGCGGAAATTTAGAAATTTACAACTACAGTACATAATAATTAGTTAGACAAACGATGGGAAACGTTCACAAACTACCGTACAAACAAGGCAGAGGGAGGCTCCACCTCTGGCATCAGTATCACTGCTCAGCATATTGCCGGTGTTGAAAATATTCTGGCCGATTTTATCTCACGTCCCACCCATTTTGACCTCTCTCATCGTGAACGGGCTGAGCAGCTGTACCAGAAGTTCAGCTTCATGCGAAACTGGAGTTCTTTCCGCCCAAGTCCCGCCTTGCTACAGCTCCTCTCTTGGAGTCTATTCTCAAAGTCTCCAATGGAGGTACCAAGTCTTCCAAGCGAGCTGGGACAGCTCGTACCCACCAATTGCATTTCCTCGGGTTCTGCCATGATCTAGAATGGACGACCCCAGTTCCGATTTCTCCTCCAATCTTGGAGATCAAAGATGCCGACGCCGAAGCTATCCAACTGGCTTTGTGTATGTATGCCGAGCACCTCTGGTCAGACGGCACTTTGTATTGTCGGCGCATCAAGGGCAGTACTATCAAAACGTATGTCCGCAACGCAGCTTCCCTTCTCCTGAAGGCATCCCAGACCTTTTGCGACTACCGCAAAGATTCTCATTTCTCGGCGTTCCTGCTTGCTTCATCTATCTGCGGATTGCTGCTGTACAGTATCGCCTGTGAAGCCAACGCATAGAAGCAATGTGTTTTTTGGTACGGTACAGATTAGTCAACTGGTCCGATGCTTGTTCCTTCACGCGGTCAATTGCATCATCGGCAATCCAGCCTAGCTAGCTGTGGACTTGACGTTGCTTGGTGGTTCCTTGCTTCGTTGCTTCGTTGCTTGCTTGCTGGAACTTGGCCCCTTCAGATGCTGCGGCACCGTCACACAATGATGAGGTGGGGGCCCCTTCAGATATGAACCCCTAGAAAGGAAGACTATGACTCAGGAGCAACATCAACACACACACATTGCAGCTTAGATAGAAACATAGACAAGAATAGAATATGATAAAGATGATTTACTACAGAAATACACCATCTGAACCAATGGTATTTGGTTGAACTACTAGGCAGACTAGTGATTGTTTTTTGTTCGTTTTGATTCTACTTTGCCGCAGTGACTTGTATTTCCACGAGAAGGTGTGGAAATGCCATGGGAGACTGTACGGTGGCTCGTACGGGTTTGTTATCGGGATCCATCCAGTCGACCCATACGGCATTCATGTCTTTGAAATCCCGTTCAATATCTTTCAACCAAATGGATGCCGACAGGACATTGGACTTGTGGGTTCCCGCCTTGGCCAACAAGTCATCTACTTCGTTCAAAACAGTTTGGGTTTGTCCCGTGACGGTATCACTGGTTCCACTCAAATCAATCAATCCACTCAAGTACACAATATCGTTGTGAATGACCGCCTTGGACATGAGAGGTCCATCGGTACCCAGCCGCTCAATCGTCGAGGATGCCAAGCCGCGACGAGCAGTCGGGAGGATGCGACGAGAGGACTGCAACAGTCTCGGAAATGATAATGCCATGATCAAATCAAATCAAATCAAATCAAATCAATCAATCAATACAATACAATGTTCTTGTACCTTTCCTATGTTTTGTGTGGATGATGAGAAGGAGTGGTGGGTATCTTTGTGCCTCCATCGTTCGGGGGATCTTTGGATCTCAGTCACGAGTTTAGTCACGAGAATCGCAACGGTTTTTCCCTTGTGACTTCGGCCACTCGGAAGACCGCTTTGACACCAACGCTCACTCGCTCACAACTCATTACCATTCACCAAGACGAATTGAACTTTTTCCAGGCAGTTGCCAACGGTTTTTCACCTTTGTGACTTTGGCCACTTGGAAGACTGCTTTGACACCAACGCTCACTCGCTCACAACTTGCGGTACCATTCACCAAGACGAATTGTCGCTCTCGGTCTGATGAATGCACAGAGCTGCACAGCATGGTTCCACAAACTAACTCGATCATCATAGCAACATCATAACATTTTGTCGGTATCATCATTATCTACCGCATATCCAAGCAATGGCAGGACCAAAATCTCTGTTCGGCAGCACCATCCGCAATTCGAGCGGCAAGCTTTTGATTTCTCGGTCTCGAGCGTTTCTGTTCCTCTTGGCCGTGTCGTCTCTACTGTTGCAATTCCAATGGTTGCAAAAGTCGCGTGTGGCGTCTGAAGAAGTGAATGAACGAGCGACCTCGGTTCTAGAGGGATATGTTACTACAGGCACTACCAGCAAAAAGAAGAAGACTTTTGCCCAAAATGTCAACGGCCAATCACGACAACTTCGCCCGGACGACTACATGACGGATCTTCTCTGTGGCGGATGCCGATGGACGTACGATCATCGCACCAAAAAGACGTGTGGGAAAATTATTGCCGCTAGAATGAAACGAGACAAAGAATTGACACTGGCCGATGCGGCTCAAACCGAAATTGATTTGGGTAGCACGGACTGTCAAAAATGCTTGGAGTGTCACGAGACACAACATCATCGCTACTGGAGACCCGATCGCACGGCACCCACCATTCAACACGCCGTCTCGCATTATCTACAAAGTATACCTCACGATTTCCGAATACCACTGGAACAGCTAGAACCAGTGGATGACGATGAAAAGCTTGCGAATTACTTGCGACAATATCCCGCCAGTCCCACCAGTGGGCGCACGTACCTGTTTGAATACAATCCAGCCATTGTACAGTATCAGCCAACCACCACAACAACACAGCCATCGCAACCTTCGACTCTACAAATTAAAGGAGAAACTCCAGCGTACATTGCTTCCTACCGAGTATCCAATCAACAAGCCTGTTTTCACACCAACGTCACGCAACAGCTCATTGGAGGAGACTGGTCACAACGACCCGAGACCATTAGTTACTTGGGAATCGCACTCTTACGCCACAATCTTTCCATTATCGCCGATGGAGTCTTTGATCCACCCGTAAAATTTGGGAGTCGAGACGATTTTCGACTCTTTTGGTTGCCACAAGACACCAGTCAGCACAAGAGTAGCAACAACAGTAATAGTCCACTGCAACTCTACATGACCACAGGACGACGTTTGACACCCTTGTGGATTGGTACCAAAGAACAGCCACCATCTCAAATGGATCCCAAAATTGCCATGGAATTACCCGCCAAATTCCCTCGACAAACCATTCTCAAAATACACATGGGAAAATATCAACTCAAAGCATCCGAAGATCTCGATGCCAAAGGGGTCACCAGTGGCCTCGTGGGGTCGGCCAAAAACCTCAATTACTTTGTCGATGCCAATGGCACCACTCAAGTGGAATGGAATCCACCCGCCAATTCGCAATCGCAGGTCAAACCACACATGGTACAACCCGTCCATCTCAATGTGCAAGACTGCACCGGATACAAAAAGAAACCCACCGTGGCACGCTACAATTTCTTTAATGACAGTGTCACAACCACAGTCATTCCACAGCATCAGTCATTTTATACCATGGAGGAACTCGAATTTGCCAATGGACACGAATACTACCAAACACCCTACACACCCGACCGAGGTGGAACCTGTTGTTTGCCACTGACGCATCCGAATGATGATGGGCGCCAATTGTTGGTGGGTATTTCCCATGTCAAGGTGCCCTTTCTAAAACGAAAAAAGCTACGACAAATGGGGACTGAACCCAATCAATACCTCAGTCGCTTTTATGCCTTTGAAGGCGTGTCGCCGTATAACACGGTAGCCATTAGTGGGTACTTTTGTTTCGGGCAGTTCCTGGGGAAGAATAACAACAACAACAACAGTACGACAATGCATCCATTGGCCAAGCGTCCACCGGCAGAATGGTTCAAAATGAGTCAGCTATCCTTGGATTGTCCCGTCATTCACTTTATTTCTGGCATGACCGAAAAGGCAGGGGATCCATCCAAAATCATTATTACCTATGGCGTCCAAGATTGTACTGCGTGGTTTGTCGAAGTGAACAAGCAAGAAATTGTGGATCTTTTGTTCAAGGGGCCAACTAGAGGGAGCTAAAACAACAAAAGGCAATAATGTGGATGTAGTGGCTGTGAATGCCAGTAATGTCGCAGCTTGCTGGCCAAGCATGACAACATACAGAGAACTACACAAGCATGACCATGTCTTGCGGCATACGGTAGGACAGCAACATCTGCTTGCAGTAAGATTTTGGTTTGTTTGCTTGCTTGTGATTGGCCACGTGCTCTCTTGAAATGGTTGGCTGTAGCATGGCAGGGTGCACAGCAGGGTGGGGGGATGCCAACAACCAAATGGTACTCATTAGGTAACTAGCCAGGCTCAGTATAGAAGTGTCCAACATACAATTCAATAGAGTGGATTCGGGTGGTGGACATGTTCTTCCAAACAAACATGAACAGTACTCGCTGCCTCTGCGTCAAGTTGTGTCCAACCTTGCTGTCCAGCAACCTTGAAATGATGCTAGTGCTTCAATTACAATAGCCTAGCCTGTGTGCTTGTGAGTGTCACTCTCTACGTGGTGACAGTGCATCCAAACAACACATCTGTCGAACAAACAGACGGAGAACAGAAACTAAGGACCCGTGTGCCAGCCAGTTAAGTTAGTTTATGCATTACTAATATCTTCTTTATCATATTATTCTATTCTTGTCTATGTTTGTTTCTATCTAAGCTGCATTGGTGTGTGTTGATGTTGCCCCTGAGTCATAGTCCTCCTCTCTAGGGGTTCATATCCGAAGGGGCGCCCATCTCCCCATTGTGTGAGGGTGCAGCCACAACTGCATTGTTGTTGAAGGGAGACACCATGGAGTCAAAAACCTGGCTGATGACACATTCAAAACCAGAATCCTGGTCCTCCAAGGTGGCAGTGGCCAGTGCAGTCATGCGTTTGGGATCTTCCTTGGTGCTGATTTCCAGAGACCAGGTATTGTGAATGGGAGTGGAAGGGGCTGCATTGCGAGCAGTTCCAGTAATTTCCATGTTCTCAAAAACTGGAAAGTTAGTGGACATGGTAGTTCTCTTCAACTGCCAACTTTTGTTGGTGGATGTCCTCACTTTGACATCCAGAGTGGCTTCTGCCTGTTCCACCCCAGTTCTTGCGGTGTTGGTTTCAAAGTCACAATCCCTGCAAGTGATTTCCATTGTCAGCTCCTGGTCACAGTTGACCCTTGGGCCAAGGAGTGGGTTGAAATATTGGATGTTTGGGTTGGGCTGGTTGAGTTGTCTGTGATCAGCACCCCTGAGGGCAGCAGCAGAGCAACTGGAGCTGGAGAGGGCAAGGAAGAGAGAGATCATGGCAGATTTCATGGTGGCAGTGAACATGATTTTTTTTTTTTTTTTTTGTGTTTTGTTGGTTTGTTGTTGATGTGTGCTTTGCGTTTTTTAGCTTGAAAGATTGTTTTGTGAGACCAACCTCAGATCTGTAGAGCCAAATTTGGCAGCTCTTGTATGAGTCCTGCCTTGATAAGGCTGGGTCTGGATCCAAGACTTTCCCGGGATCTGCGAAGTCTCGAGCAGGAAACCAAATAAGCCAGTTAAAATGGATAATTCGAACTTGGGGCACGCCCGGACGCTAGATCTAGAAGCGCGGTACCGGTACGAATCTACCTGGACATTCATCTGCTTGCTTGTACTGGTACCACAAGAAAAGAAGGACCAGAAAAGGCATTGGAATGTCACGGAATTCTAAGGGCATTCTCTACTCATTCTCGTCCTATTTTCTCGTCCTAAGTTTAGGACGAGAAATTCAGTGCTCTTAGGACGAATTTTTAGGACGAATTGGCAATTTCTAAAAAACTCGTTCTAAAACCAGACTTAGGTAGGACAAGTTTTAGGACAAGGACAAGTTCATTCTCTAAAACACTGGTCTTAAAACTCGTCCTGTAAGCACCTCTCCTCTATCAGCCTATTAAAGTGGTCCTGATAGTGTGGCTAGAGGCTTCCCACAAAGCACCTCCGTGGTCCATGGTGTGGCTACTTGCTAGCTAGCTAGTAGATAGTTATCTAGCAGGCATACCCGAAGCGGAGCGAGGAGTGAGTTGTGTGTTGAGACTCAGTCTTGTTAACTCAGTCTTGAGATGATGTCATCACAGAAGACCCAAAGACTTAATGAAAAATATTAGGACGATTATCGTCCTATTTCATTGGAATACGACGAAAAAATTATTCGTTTTAGAAATTCGTCCTAAAAATAGGACAAATTTTAGGACGATTTCGAGTTAAAGATTGCTTTTGTCCTAAAATTTCGTTCTAAAATAAACTTAGAACGAGTTTTAGGACGAACAAATCTACTAGAGAATGCCCTAAGTATCTTTGTGAAAAGACCTTTACTAAATCCGAGAAGCACAATGAACATCATTTTTAAACGTAATTTATGAGGAACTGCACTTCGAAGCTTCGAAGCGAACACAGGAATACCGGAGCTCTGGTGGAACGGAAACTCTCTTACGACCAAAGCCCTAACTAACTCAATGGTTTTGACCAGTTGCCACATGCTACATGCTACAGACATTTTGACTCTCAGACATGCGTTCACTATCTCTGAGTACTTTTCTTCTCCCACTTTACCTTCACCTCTATGCATACCCTATTTCAATAGACTACTAGTACTAGCTAGCTAGACTACCTCAACAAAACTGGCCAAAACCAGGCCTTCCCTCACACCAAAGTCAAGCCACAAATTCATACCAGTAGGATAGAAAAGAGTGATGGCTGAGCCAAGAGATAACAGTATCGAGGGGGAAAAGGAGGTACCAGAAGCCCTCAATGATGAGTGTTTTACAGTATTTTCTGTTACCAAGAAAACTCTTTCGCGCCAAAGGTCAATGGGGGGTGAGTGCGAGTGGCCCAAGCGTCCTTCGAGAATGACTAGCGAAAAAAGAGTCTTTGCTGGTGTCCGAAATGCTTTGGAGAACCAACGGGAGGAAAAGCAGAAGGAAACGGGTCCTGATGCAGCAGTCCAAGTAACGGAAGAGAAGAAGAGAGTACCGGGATCTAGTAGGAAGAGTTCGACCAAGAAGAGTTCGTCCAAGGACGACCAACGGAAGAAGCATCTTCTTCGCAGCAAGTCAATGGAGCACCCTGGCGCCATCATGCCAGCCCTTGTCACGCCTAGGCGGGGTTCTATGGCCATGGAAGCAAGGACCGGGAAACTTAGCAATGACGCTGATGCAGACAGGGAACTGAAGAAGCAGAGTGGGGCTTCTGAAGACACCATGGTTGACGCAGCTCCTGAGGATCCCCCTGAGGAATCTCATGATCTCGGGGTACCCTTCTTTGACCCGATTTTCCCAGACGACGACCAAGTGACCAAGAGGAAGGCTCCTATTCGTAGCAAGTCCATGAAGCTGGATCCTGAACCGTTTGTGGAAGACGGCCCCAATGACTTTGGAGCGCCTTTCTTTGACGACCCAGTGCCCAAGACACCAGCTAAGACGAAGAGGCCTCTTTGTCGCAGCAAGTCCTTGGACTACGCTGGCACCATGGCAGTTGCGAGGACAGCTGAGAAACAGAGGAACTGCGTGGCTGAAGCTGTCGATGGTGAAACTGGGGCAATCCCGTTGTTGAAAGCCAACTCTAGGGATGGCAAAGGATCTTCCACCCGCGTCTCTCGGCGGTCCATGAAGGAAGATAAGAAGGCTGTAGAAAGCAAAAAGGAATCAAGCAAAAAGGAATCAACCACCAAGGATCGCATTCGTCGGCGCTGCAGCCGTTCTCCCATGCGTAGACGCGGCTCTGGTATATATGTCGACGACTCTTCCAGAAACCTGCGATCAAGGTCCCGATCTGGTTCCCCGGATGCCCGAAGAGCATCACGTTCACGCTCCCGCTCTGTTATTCGAGACAGCACAAGGGCATCACGATCTCGGTCTAGGTCTCGGTCCATTACACGCCGGGGCAGGAGTTCATCGCCATCAATGTCTACTCCTCGAGGGGGGAGGAAACCATCCGTTTCGGCGTCCCGGTCTCGATCCCGATCTAGTTCACGCGGCGGTAGAAATCCGTCACTTGCGCGCTCGAGATCAAGGTCTCGCGGTGGCAAACGACCGTCTCTGTGTGCATCATCGTCTCAAGCAGCAACGCAGAGTTTCCGTCGACAAGGATCCCTGTTGACCTCGTCGCAGCAAATGGGTAGCGTCCGTCGAGGATTACAGGCGGAACGTACTGCCAGTATCCGGCGTCAAGGGTCCCTCTTGGCTTCCTCCCAGCAAATGGGGAGCGTTCGTCGAGGATTGCAGCAGTCGGCATCGGATCGAAGAGGCAGCTTTCGCCGTGGATCCATGTCTTGCCCTTCTCATCAGCCAGCCGGCAGTGTCCGCCGAGACATGCCTTCCAGTTCTGAACGAAGCACGGGTAGCAGGGGCGATTTGTCGCTGTCTTCATCCTCGCATCACCATCATGTGGGCCAGGAAGAATGCTACGATGATGAAGATATTGATACGTTGGATACTAGTGGAGATGTGGAACCAGATACAAGCATCTGTGAGAAGGAAGTTGAGATTGCTCCTTCCGAGCAAGTTACGGCGCCAGGGGAGAACAATGCTGGTTCTGAGGAGGAGCTCACCAAGGATGATTCGTCTTCTGACAAGACACGTGAGAAATGGTTATGCTGCTGCGGAAACGATAATGATGACACACATCCATTTTGTTGTATGTGCGGTTCAGCCAAGTTCTGGGCATGTGCAGCCTGTCACAAAAAGGATGACAACAAACAAAAGTACAAGTTCTGCGGCTGGTGTGGCGTTGAGCGGGAGGGGTCAGGGTCCTCTAATGGGAGAAATGTAGCAGCCGCAAAAACTGCATGAAAAGATAGGATACAAGTTCACAATGAATTCAATCGAATCCTCTGCATAATTCACTAAAGTTTTTATAAACGAATTGTATGGTACAACTATGGCAAAGCACCTCGGTGGCAACATTCTGCACCTCTATAGCAAAGGCAAAGCATGGGGGTAAAATTGTGCACCTCTAGGTAGGAAAGCTCCTCGGGTGCAACATTCTGCACCGGTGGCAAAGCACCTCGGGTGAAAATGCTCGCACCTCTAAGGCTCACACCTCGGGTGCAAGATTCTGCACCTCTACGGCAAAGCACCTCGGTGGCAAAAGTCTGTACCGTATCAGCTCGAAGGCAAAGCACCTCGTGGGGCAAAAGGAGTCGAGTCGAGTAACTCCTATGCATAATTCAGTAGAGTTCGCGCAATTTTTAAAACACGAAATGTAAAACTACAACTAGTAGGATATATCATGCCCCGTATTGCAGAATCCCTTGGTCCATTTTTAGCTCTCAGCAACATCATGTATGTATGTATGTATGCAGTATATTTCTAAAGGGTAGGTTGCAAATGCATCATGATGACGACAGTGGCCACGCAGACGGCAATGACCAGCAACAAACCATTCAAGACAATGAACCGTTGTCGCTCGGCTTTGTGAGAGTAGCGCGGAATGAATAGCTTAATGGCGTTCACTTGCACTTGTTGTTCTGGTGGAGTCGTTGGCAAGCGAACGGGTCCAAAACCACTGTCAATGCTGGAAGTATCCAGACGGGGTGGTCTCGAGTGAGAGTCGGCTGGTGAAATGGGCGAAATATTGGCGGCAAACTCTTTGACTGCCACAGGAAGACTCATGTCGCTTTCTTTGGGGTTGTAGGCAGAAATCTCGACAACATCGCTCTTGTCATCATGCTCGTCATCGAACGTCTCTTCCCGTTTCCGTTCCTCTTGTGGTGCCGAAGTGTCGGTGTGTTCATTTTTGGCTTCATAGATGGTCAGCATATTATTATTGTCGTTGTCGTTGTCAACAGGCCTATTACCCCGCAAAGAAGGCTCTGTGTGGAACGAGTCTTCATCATCCAAAGATGATTGAACCGCTTGGTTTTCATTATTGCCATACATGACTAACGCCGAGCTGGTGTATATTGTTTCTGGCATTTTGACGAGTGGTGCTTCCATTCGAATGGATTCTGGCATGAGCACTTTGGGTGGATCGTCTTCTTGTTGTGATTGCTGCGGGCTCACGGGCCGCGTTTGCATTACAGTTGCGGGGACGTAAATCTCGTCCTCTTCCGAAGGATCGGGTGGAGGCACGAGTGGCAAGGAATCGGTTTGTGTTTGTATTTCCCGCATAATGGGCACTGTCTGGGAACCTTGATTTCGGACCTTTTTTTTGGGTGGTGGTACCGTGAGGGCAAGTGAGGGAACTTCTTCTCGTGTCGTCACTATTTCCGACTCTACCTGGGAGGAATACGAAGACTCTGCTGCAACTCGCTGATCCTGAGTAGCCTGCACAATTGGTTTTTCGGCTTGTCTGACTGGTGGAGACTGTTGGACCTGTGGTTGCAGGGGCACATATTGTGGTTGTTGTTGTTGTGCTGGCTGTTGTTGTGGTGGTGGTGGTGGTGGCATCATGGCGGCTTCTTGTTGCTGTGGCTTTTGCTGTTCCACATCTAGGTGTTGGAGTACCCATGGCGGTGCCTTGTATAGATCCTCATCGTAATCCTCATCGTCGTCGACTCTGAATAGTTTTGGGTCGCACAAGATCAATACAAATGCTCCCAAGGCAATGAGACCCATGAGAGCCAAGACGGCAATGACAATGTTTCGTTCATTGTCCGTCAGATCAAATTGGTTTGTGGTGGTTGTGGTTGTGGACATGGTGGCACTTTCTAAAGTGGAGTTGAATATTAGCGCAAGAAGGGTGGGGGTGGAAGTGATGGAGCTCTGCTCACCAATCCAAAGTAGCGTGACATGAAGATGGGAAAGAGGCGACCATGGACGAAAAAGGTCAGTCTTGTGCCGATTTTGCCTTCCGAGAAAAATGAACGTCTAATTTGAAGCAGCAGAGCTGTTTGATTATTAGGCCTACTCAAAGTAGCTGACCAGGATCTTCCCCTGAATCTAACGGATCTTTTGCTTCGGGTTGCGCCGACATGGCACTTCATCTTGGATTGAGAGAGGATGATGGATGGTTGAGTGTCAGCATCATGTCTACTACTACATGTACTTCGAACAAGCAACGAACGGATGCCATTGCTACTCTAATATCCTTCTACAAGAACAAGTACAGCAGCAGCAGCAACAATGCCTTCTTTGTCCATGATTCCATAGAGTACTATTCCGATGAACAAACGGGTGTGGGAGTTCGTGCCAGACAAGATATCCCACAAGGCACCACGGTCCTCAAAGTCCCCGATGCCGAGCGCGTTTCCTTGTCCAATGTCCCGACATGGATGACATCCAAGAAAGCCAAAGCGGCACTGACAAAGGTCCAAGATGACTACTTACAAGTGCAGCAAACATTCGTGTCGGGAATCGGATGTTTGGGCGATATCTATCCTTACGGAGAGACTTGTTTGACCGTTTGCGTCCTGCACCTGTTGGCAGCAGCCAATCAGCACAAGTTTGATCACATTACCCAAGCATGGCCGACGGTGGAGGAATTTGAAACCTACTGCTATCCTATTTGGTTTCCCGACTATCACTCTCCGGAATTCCGACAATTGATTGAAGGAACTGCCACGCTGGACTATATTGACCGCCATGCCAAGGCGTTACGACACGCCTTTGATACGGTCGTGTTGCCTAACATTACTGCTACTTGTAGTAAAGAGTTCTTGCCGCAAGCGTTTCACAACACCAACCAGTCCACGACGGAAAATCTGTGGACGGCATTTCGATATGCTAGTTCTTTGGTACGCTCTCGAAGCCACGAAGGCAAAATTGCCGGTGAGTGTGATATCATCCCCATTGTCGACTTGACCAACGGAATGCCCTCCTACTGCACACAAAAGTTAAACGTCGAGTACAAGAGTGGTAGTGAAACCGTTGGCAAGAACAAGAAGAAAACACCCGTCACATGTATAGTGACTATCAAGGATATCCCCGCCGGCACCGAACTCCTGCTCTCGTATGGCAATGTCCACGCATCGCACTTTGCCATTCGGTACGGGTGCTTCCCACCCGATATTGTACATGACCGGGAAGGATCTCTCGATTTTGTCACCCTTCACGTCCCTCCATCTTTGGCCCCGACCGACCAAATGCGAGCCGGAGCCTGCCGAAAGGCCAGTCTTCCCAGTACCAAACAACAAATTGAACAGTTTTTCAACCTGGGCTGTCATTACGATGCGCTAGAGCCATTCCGACAACAATCACAATCTACTAGCACCGAAGTAACAATATCAGAGCCATTGGCACGATTGCAAAAGTTTTTCATCCTGTGTCATTTGCTGAACGAAGAAGCTCTGCCAACCTTTCTCTCCACGGGACGATTGCCAACCAATCGATCATGGAGTTTGCAACTGGAGGGACAGTTGCATTTGTCGGTACTAGATTATACCCTGGAAAAGGTCACAACTCTGAATTTCAGTACCAATGAGGAGGATCTTGACAAGGCTGCCAATCATCATGCCAGCCGGAACGATCTGGTTGCCGCATACCATACTCGAATCTGCCAGCGTGATAGCTTGGCGCAATGGAGACACGCCGTTTGTCAACGGTACCAGTATCCTTCCGAACATGTCCTTTCTGAGGTTCAGTTTCAGACGGCCGTGGCACAACTAGTATCCTCCATGGGCAATACACAGAATGAGAGCAGCCAGATTCCCCGATCAGAAGCGCCCCAATGCATCCTAAGAAGTCGGGGTTGCCCCGTCTGTGGACGAACGCTGAATCTCAAAGCCTGTTCCCGTTGTAAGCAGGTAAAGTACTGTTGCAAGGACCATCAATTAGTTGGCTGGAAGAAATTGGGGCACAAACGAGAGTGCAATCCGTCCTTGGCTAGCTAGTACTCAGAGTAGATGATGATAGCAACCCTCAATACTACTAGTTCTTGCTATGGTCGGTCGATAGATAGATACTCCCGCAGCTTGTAGCTGGCAAATCCAAGAATAGGCGAGAAAGCATGATTACTATAGCCCAGCAGTTTTGAGTGTCGAACTGTGAACTCTAGGTACCTTTGGCTTGGGCCACTATCCAGCTGCTCTACCCTTCTCCCAATCTTCCCCATTCTGTAACTGTAACCACCACTCTCAAATCTTCGGTTGATACTACATGTACTCGTATGTAGACATGTGGTCGAGCTGGCTACTAGCTAGCCTGCACTATGCATAGCTAGTAGGGGCTCGAGTACATAATGTACGGCGTACTAAGGCGTGAGATGCGGACATGAAAGAAGAAAGAAGCTCGCAATTGAAAGAAGCTTGCATCTGTCGTTATGTCGTTCTACCATCGTGGCGACAATCAAGCGGTTTTTCATTATCGGTTGTAAGAGGCTTTTGATGTCAAACCAAGCAGACCAACAGCCCTCGATGAGTCCTCGATGGTAATCATTGGTAGTCAAAATGTGTTGAAAGGTAAAGTAAAAGAGTTGCAGCTCTAACAACAACCATTACCGCCGATCGTAGCTGCGAAAAGCTTGGCTACCGGTAGCTACTGGTACCCGTACCGGTAACGGAAAGTTCGCAGTTCGTTGTGGCCTTCACTATACGACAAGTAGTATAAGTAGAAAAGGCTCAGGTACCTTACAAAAGAAGTGCAAAGTGACCCTAGCAATTAATTGGGGTCTCTGTAGAGGTTCAGTTAAGTAAAAAATTAATGACGTGGTACACCTATCTGGCATATTCGTAAGAGATGTAGGCTGGGGATATAAGTACACAAGAGTTGGTCAAGAGTGAGCGTTTTCTACTTATCAACATCTATCTGTTCGTTTCGCCTTCGAAAATGTCATTGAAATTCCTAAGATCGCGTCCAGAGATTGACACAGCTTGACCACGTTCTTCCCCGGAAAATTCTCCAACAAACAATTCGCCCACCCTCCCTCCACCCTCATAAACTCTCCTCATTAATTGAGAAAACCAAAGGAAAGAAGCGAAGAGAAGACTGATACTATTACGCAACCATGGGCAACGAAGCATCATCAATGGAAGAAATCAGCCGCGGCGGACTGAAGCGCACCAACTCGGCTCCATCACTCACGGCTAGTGTCTCGTCCATGCCATCGCTAATGGGTAGCATCCGAGACCTTCACTTTGACGACTTGGGGCATCCAACCGACCATTCGGAATTGACCATGTCGGATCGGAGCAGATCCTCTCTGGGAAGTTCCTTCAGTAGGCTGTGCGCCTCACCATCACAACTCACTGCCAATGGTGCGGATGAAGACGAATCTGGCACTGATGAGCGAAGACGACGAAGGAGGAGAAAGAACAGAGCTTCCACAGGAGATCCAAGAAAAGACGGGCGAAGGAGGAGCAACAGCAGCAGCAGGCTCAGCAGGTCTCTGAATAGCACATTTGTACCCAAGCCTGATCTTACAACAGAGTTCGTTGCAACAGGGGAGTTCCTGGAGAAACTTATGGAGACACCTGAAGGGAGGGCCAAGCTGAAGAGTGCATTCATGGACAAGAAACTACTACAAAAGGTGGGACGATAGAACCCAGCTGGTTGTTTCTTTGTTTGGTTGTTTCTTGACCCTGCTAGCTAGCTACTACATGATCATGGCATGATGTGGTGTGGTCCTCATTGAATGGGCGACTAGAAAACTGAAGAGCTCATTACACTATGTAGCGCGCAGTATTATACATATTTAAAAAACTTTTAGCTTTTAATGTCTACATTTACATGAAGAACAAGCGGGTTTTGATTGCTTTAGAGACTGAAGAAAGCTACCACCTAGCTAGCTAGTACCTAGTACATACATGTAGTAGTTGAAGTTGCTTTGTTTCGGTGATTCTTCATTGCGGCTCCCAAGCAACATCCGAAGCAAGCATACAGTACCAGGTCCTGGTAGCCAGTATGGATGGGCAAATAAATAATGGTGGGTTGTACCGTACCTGCTTGCCTGCTTGCAGTCCTTTGATTTGGCCACGGGTGCGGTACCACTTTCTACTTGTTGGCAAAGCTAGCTAGCCTGTGCAAGGAATTCAAGGGAACGAAGTGGGTGTGCGCTACTGGTAATACTAGCTAGCTAGTGACTAGCTAGCTAGCTAGCTTGAGCTGCCTGCTGAAGCAACTTCCTGGGCTTCCCCTCCGGTTGAGGCTGTTGTCGAAATTCGATTGAGATTCATTCGATTGAATCGATTCATTCATCCTACTAGCTAGTACGGTAATGGTGTGCGTCCTCAGCAATTTCTACGCATGCGTCGTACTGACGTGGGCTGTTCCACGAGGATCATTGCAATTTTATGTTTATTCATCAAGTCGTGTTTGTTGTGAGAAAGATCAGGTACAACAGAACACACAGACAAGTTGCACGGCAACAGAGAGGCTTTGGACTGAATGCTCACACGCAATAATACCAGTATATATACGACTGTATCCAAACAGGCCTTGCTGGACGAGCCTCGGACTCACAATAATGCAAAGTAGAACGAAAATGATATCCCTCTCCATCAATGACATGTGCCAGCGTCGACGACGAAAGCGCTCAACTTCGCCGCCGTCCAAGAGTACGTCGACGACCAGCACAGCGAGTTTCAGTAGTATTATCTCAGAAGAACCACAAGATACGCAAGAGTATCGACGAACGGTGAGCTTTGACAAGCTAGAAATATACGGATTCCCCAAGGTTTTAGGAGACAATCCATGTGCCCATGGTGCAGCGGTGCAGCTAGACCAACGGCCGGATTATCGTGTGGTTCTGAGCATTGATGAGTTCGAGCGCTACCGGCTGCCACGCCGTGATTGTGAAACCCTTCGGTTGAGCTCTGCGGAACGAGAAAACTACCTACTTGGCACAGGATACGGTTACAATGAAGTCGTCAACGCGGCAACGAAGAATGCAGAACTTAGGCAAGAACGCTGGGATACTTTTCATATGCGGCACTGGGAACCATTTTACCTCTTCCTGGAGTATCTGTACGAGGATATGAGACATGCTTACACATGGGCAAACGAAATGGGGGTTTGGAGCAGGCCTAGGGAACATAATATTTTCAATGTATGCCATAACCCATACCCGATCCCATAGAAATAACTCATATCTAGCTGTTCGTCCATACATAGATGACATAACCTCATAGCACTACATAAATATATTTCTTCCATAAATAACCCATAAATGACCCATAAATGGCTCATATATTGCAGCTCAATTGGCTTTGGCCAGCCACAAGGAGTTTCAAGATGACATTGACAGCAGAAGACTTTTTTAGGAGATTTGGTAGGATAACTATAGTAAGATTGTGTTTGTTTGCAAGCATATGGTGTACATGTAGCTAGTTATGCTGTAGCTACAGTCATATATTTGAGATCTGTGCAGCGCTGTATCCATAGATGCCATAAGGTGCTCATATCTCATGGTCTCTCCATAAATATATTTCATAGAAACTATGGAAATACATGGCATAGGAAATATCATTTTCCCTAGGCCTGGTTTGGAGGGCAGCACTGTACCTTATCTTGATCATCTTATTCATGTCTATAAGAATTACGGTACGGGAAGTGGAGTGATGGCAACAAAAGCTTTGCAAAACTAAAAACCTATAACGAAACAAGGAAGATCATAATTAGGTCTGCCTACAGTTGCTACAAGAAGTGATCTGGTGTAGCAACTGTCTATCTCTCCACCTCTACTCCTACAGTAGCACCTGGTACCTTCTCCTGAAAGCCATCATTTTTCTATTCTTCGCTCCACAAGCCAGGGCTTCCCACAAAGCAGACGACGGTTAGATGTCAGAAGCAAGATGGAGCTGCCACATGTACTCTAGTATGCATATGTATGAGTTTCTCAAGTGCTGCTTGCGTGTCATTTAATTTTGCTTCTGGCACGTGTTTTTCTCTGTCAATTTTGTAAGGAGTGAGGAGGCAACTAGATCTAATGGCAGGCTAGCTAGTAGTACGTTTGATTGTTTGCACCCTTTGCTTGTTCGTCCTGATAATTGCTAGGCAGGCAGCTGGCCAGTTAGAAAAGACACAACATGACCATGCTGTGTGTGCTCCTCCTACACAGGCTTAACAGTTGACTCTGACTCAATCAGAAGCAGTTGAGGTGTCTCGTGAATAAGAAGCATCTGTCCGGCAACCGCGGCGAAGGAAGCAAAGGATCATCCACATCCTCTGACCACCACATGGATCTATTTAAAATAGTAGGCTCGCACAAACTATCCTTATCCATGTACACAACCCCACCATTACATCACTCCCCGTGAAAAAATTACCCATCCTGGTGGCAGGCAGCTGCCACCGAGGAAGAGGAGAGAAGAGCAGCAGGCAGCAGCTAACCTCAGCTGATTGACGCTGATTCCCTTGCTAACAGCAGGCTTCCCTTTTCTGCAATTGCTGTTTACAGACCGAACATGAGAGCAACGAATTTTCTCTGCTACCGGTGACCATCATCATGACCTTTCACCACCTTGCCACACACATGGCCATCATTACCATTCATGTTTGGATGAGCTATGAGCTACTCCAGTATGAGCTATGAATTCTCAGTACCACCGCACCGTAAAAAGTGTGCTCTTGTGAACGCTGCCATTTTTTAAATAAATGCTCGGGCTCCCCTTTGGCAATCCACAAGAGGAAGGTGGTTTCGAAGTGCTTCTTTTAAATTCTCGCTTCCGTATCACATGTTCATTCCCAGCTGCGAGTTCACGTGCAATCGTGCTTTGGCGAAATAATCACCTTGGCGAGAGCTCACAAATTGGGCGACCATCATTTATTCAACCATCAAACCGGCGACAAAACAACAATACTACAAAAAGCATTCATTACTCAAACAACTAGACTACTACCCAAACGAAGATGAGTTTCTTCCTCCGACCATTTCAACGAACTCTCACCTCCTCCAAGCCATCCAGAAAGTCAGGTCAACGACGCAGAGCTAGCTGTTCCGATGCGAACAATGTACCTCCATCCTCCGATACCCTTGATGCCTCCGACGTCTTTTTGAATGAAGACGAAGACACGACCCTGACGTATGATGCCTCCTCCTCCTCAGTCGACGTTATGATTAGCAATAGTAGCAAGAGTCGAAAGCAGGAAGGCAAGACGAAGAATGATAAACAACAACAACAACACAACAAGAAACCATCAAACAGAAGGGCGTCCGTTGGTTCCGGCGGAAGGAAGAAACGTGACCACCGGCGAAAAACGACCACTTCAACAGCCATGGTGGAGCAAAAGTTTCTGAGTGACTTGAATGAGCTGGCGGAAATTGAAGAGTTTGTCAAGAAAATGTCAGCATCTTCCAAAGGGGAAAAGCTCTTGCAAGAACACTTGAAAAGTCGCCCATCGACTGTGGGAGGTAACGCGTGATAGAGTTGACAAGGTGCAAACAATGGGAGGAGATGCGCAGCAATCATGATATAGAAATAGAACTAATAATAAATTGGATAGAACTCGTTAGAGGGATCATGGTTGGGTTTGTAGTCTAGTCATTACTGTTTTGCCCGAACGTTTGTAGTTTGTAGAGCGGCCCCGGTGCAGGGGTGGTGTGCTTTCAGGCCTTCTTCCTCGAGTTGATCTGGAGATGGGGCCTGGTGTAGGTCCTGGGTTGGGTCTCGATGGAAGACGGGGAAGTGGTTTGTGAGTTGGTGCGAGCGTTGCTTGTTTGTGGTGCGGGTTACCTGGTAAGGTACCGGTCGGTCCACACTGCATACTCCTTTTCTCCGCTTTGGACGACCGGAACATTTTGTATCAAGACCTGCCTTACGTGTTGATGGATGTTTTCGTTGTTACAGCACGGTTGTAGCCATTCTTGGATTCCTGGCTGGCTGGTTCGCTCCGGGCTGGCTGGTTCTCTGGCAGATTGCCCTTGCAACATTGTCTTGATCATTCTGTTGCCGCATGCATTGTGTAACTAGCCAGCTAGAATACGCGTACCATAGTACCGCTATGCTTCAGCCAAAAAGCAAGTACAAAGTACTATAGGCCTGCGTAAATGCCAGTGCACGGATGCCTTGCATACATGCATGCACGAAAACGATGGTTGTTATGATGTTGGGGAGCTTGTCCGGCAGTCTTAGTCACTAGTTTCTCGTGTCTCCGCCAAAGGCGAAGCCAAGGAGGGAACCAGGAGGTGCTGTCACGGCGACTGCTAAATCCACCGATTAGAAACTTTTAAAAAGCAAATTTGACAAAACGTATCCACTTGGTTTTAAGATATCAATGCAATGAAGGCAAGCTGACGCACTTGGAACTTGGAACCAACCAATGACAAAGAAAAACATCATTCGGCAAGGGCAATTGGATGATCTGGTGTCGTCTATTGGACCAACAGGATGATGCATGCGAGCGAGAGACACAACAAATAATGAGGGATGCCATCAGCGGATAGACACAATATTTGGAGCTGCTTGAAAGCCAGAGCAAGAAGAGAGAAGAGTAAAGATGATCAAGCCATGGAGTTCAGGCGTTTTGGCTACGCTGCTGCTTTCAGTGACCAGCAGCAGCGATGCTTTTGTGGTTCCTCATCAGGGCCGTGATGTTGGTGTTTCTGTTGGCATGACGAGTTTGTTTGACTTTTGCAATGAGCCATTGGGAGGCAAAGACAGCGACGCTCGTTTGGACGAACAGTGGAGGAACAATCAAGATATCATGGAGTCTCGTCGTCGCAGACAATTCTTTCACGATGGCAGCACTCTGGAGCTTAATGGGTCTTACAGTGTCTTGGGAACCACGCAGTTGCCAGAAGTTCTCTCCTCCTACACAATGCCACCACCTGACATGATACCACCTCCAGAACATTTCTATAGGGGATACCATCCCGGTGAACAGTATAGCCCGGCTTTCTCCTTTCAGCATGACCACGTCTCTGCCAACATGAACAACCGTGTCATGGCCGGTGATCCACAGAGGTACTGGTAAAGTGGAATATCCCGACTGCAAGACGCAATACACAGGCGCAACTTCGCAACTTTCATTTCTTCATTCGGATTTGTCTCCACAATGAAACAATGAATGTTTTCAACCGATTTGTTAATTAAACAGTTTCTAGGACTCCTAGAATGCAACCAGCTGCCTTAGAGCTGTAGCGTACTGGTATAAACGAAACAGAAACAGAAACATCAATGGGATGGTGTGCCTGCCTGAGATCAGAAAGGTGTCACAGGTGAACAGAATGTTCCCAAAGTAATTGGCTATCCAGTAGACTAGGGAAAACCGTTTAGCCTTCTACTGTTGGGCTCCAGATCCGCATACTTCCGCTCCCTTGCTGTAGATGGCGTAGAGGTTGACGAGCTGGCCACCGAAAGCAAAGTGAGTACCCTTGTAATACCTGGTGCGATCTGTGTGGTTTCGCTGATTGCTAGCTAGCTAGCTAGCGAGTAGCAACTCCATGTGTCTCGGATGGTATGGTCTTGGCTAGGCAGTAGCCGCACTTTCAATGATGTCGATCGCAGCGCAACCGGTGCAGCACGGCACGCCACTGGCAAGCTGGATACTGTAGTAGATGCCGCCAGCTGCAGTTTCTGGCACCGCACTTATGATAGAGCCACGTTTGCTGCGTTCTGATCTCTACTCCATGCCATCCATGGATCATTACAAGATACTCGTTCAGCGTACCGGTAGTGGAGCTTTGGAGCTCCCTTACGGTACCCGTACTGTAGCTGCCATCAAGCATTCCGGAGTGAGTACATGTAAAAAGTGGAAGAGCTCGCCAGAACGTTCTCCTGTAGCTGAGCCTCGTGGTACGGTACCAGCGTGACAACTCATGGCTTAAATACTATACACACACCATGACCAACCTCTATCTCTCCCCTTTCTTTCGCAATGCAGTCTTTGGTCCTGAGCAGAGTTGCCTGTTCGAAGAGCTGTCCACTGTCAATTATTGTACATTGAGGAATTAAAAGACTGCTCTTTTGTTGGAATGCAATGACCGTTTTCTTCCAGAATTTCCCAGCCAAACTGGTGCCACAGAAACTCTTCACAAAACAAGGCACCAATACAAAACCAACGAAAAACCGAGTGAGCTGCAATAGTACCGGTATCAGGACCTTTGCTATCTTTTGCCAATAGAGTTAGTTGAGCCCATTCACAAACACACACAACAAAACAGACGACACCATGGACTCTTCTTACCATCATACGGGTTGCGACCTTAGTCGAAGTAGCCATGAGCGACTGGCAGATTATTCCAAAAGGCGAGCAGCAAGCGATGGTAGCACGATTTGCATCGCACAAACTGCCATGGGTCTACTTGATGACGATGACCCCTTTGAGAACCTAAAAAGCTTTCCGCTTTCGAGACCATGTGATTCTAGGGAGAAGAAGCTGGGTGTGGCTCTCTCGACAGCTGAGTTTCTCCTGAGTCTGCCCATTGAAATTTCGCGCGAACCGGTTGTGTCCGGGGTGCCTTCATCAGCCAACCTCAGCAATGCCTCTTTGAACACTTCCAAGAAGATTTTCTGCATGAGCCCACACAAACCTGATGGAAAGCTATCTTGTTCAGATCGTCTCAGGTTATCTATGACTAGTGTCTTGACCGAGGACACAATGAGTGAGCTCAATCTGGTTCCACCAGCTGCCCAGCAACCGATCTCATCCAACACGGATTCATGCGGTGAGAGGACGGAGGAAGCAGGTGGCTCTGTGACCATCAATTTCTCTCTTCGCAGGACAACGGATAAGAAGAAAGAATGCAAACGTGGCCCGTTACGGAAGCAGCATTCCAGTTCAGAATGGCTGCACCACTCTCTCCAATGCTTGATGATCGACGGGAGTATCGAGTCTCAAGAAGGGGGCAGTAACCGAAGGCACCCTCCACAGAGGAGCTGCTCTTCTGTGTCCCTTCCAAACTCCAGAGTGTTGCGGCCGCAAGCTGAAGATAGCCGGCAAGTCCTCAACGGCACGAAAGGGTTACTAAAAGAGAAAATGGCCAGTGGGTTGCCAAACGAGAAAGCGACCAATAGCACCTCTCGAAAGAGCCTCTCTGGAAGGTCACAGTTGCCGTCAAAGTCACAGAGCTTAAGGATTCGCAGAGGACTCTCACCGGTACGGACTGCATCAAGAAAATGGAGCTCTCAGACCAGTTTGGAAAGTCTCCTCAAGACGGCCAAAGAACGATCGAACGCGAAGGCCAGCTCCAATTTCAAGGCTGCATCTGATCATGGAACAACGCCAAGGTCCCCGAAGACCAAGACAACAGTGTTGCTGACTCGTCTGCATGCATCCACCAACAGCTTACTGAATGCCAAGAACCACAGCCTGCTTAGCGACTCCATGAAAGCGCCCACTCTGACGAGAAAGACCAGTGGCGCAGGCAACATGAGGGGTCGAACGCTTAGTCCACCGCCAAGGAAATCCCACACTGGTAAGATCCAGGCCACCCCGGCAGTTGATCCAAGGAAGGCATTGGCTCGAGAGGCCTCCACCTCCAAGCTGGCAACATTGGCCATGCTGAACCGATCTTCGTCCTCTTTCAGAAATTTCCCCGATGATGCCGCCTTGTCCCGCATCCAACAAGACGTTCCTACCTCCGAGAGGAAGAAGTCGGCAAGGAGAAGAATGAGCGTATCCCCAGTGCGGGGTCGTCCACAAAAAGTTTCCTCGGCGAGGGTGACACCCAAACGAGACAAGAGTCTTCATCCATTGGATAGCGCTAGCAACCATGAGCTTCGCACGCCACTGAAGAAAGCCAGATTCGGTTCTCACAACAACCTGTCTGCAATGGTAGCGATGGGGCCACCGCTGCCGCTGACAAACCAGGGTGCCACCACCAGGCGGCCCACTCTGGCACGGTCAAGTTCATCTAAGAGAGATCTACAGCAAATGTCGCGAGTGCAACATCGCCGCTATGTCGGCGAAGCTCTGCAGTCCAGCAACCTTGATTCATCCGCCCATAGCTTCGTTACAGGCTCTAGAATTGTACGGTATTGATAAGCTAGTGCAAAAGTTTTTGATTACTTTACATGTAGTACGAACTGATCAAAATATTCACTACAGTGACAGTAGAATCGGATTTCAGGCTACAAGCTACCAAATCACTTGCCATACCAGGATTCTTCCTCGCCGAGCAGGTAAGGAAACAACTGTGCACCGTTGCCTGGGTTTAGCAAGTTCCATCCTTCGCGTGGTACATGTTCCGCAAGCGTGCGCTGGTAAAGCTCCTCGTAGTTTCCGGTTGCCATGATTGCATCGCGGAACATTTGGCGCAACTCTGTACCAAACAGCTCTACCACTGGCATTAGCGACGCATTCTGTTGCGTTATTCCCTCCCTTTCTGCATAAACAGTTGCTTGAGAAACCCATCGCACCAGATCTGACCACTGAGGGTCATCTTGCGTCGTCACAAGGGTACGAACTGCACCCCAAGCTTCATAAAAGTAAGGAGGGCTGAAACTATATCCTTGACCGGTTGTGGGCTCCTTCACGTTGGCATTCATCTGCATTGTCCCTCCAGCCAAAACGTCCACTGCCTCGTTGGATAGAGCGGCGAATTGCATAGAAGGCAAATTGTAGAAACTCTGATAGACGATGGTGTCAACCTCACCAGTCAATATGGATGCTGAGATTGCCTTGCAGAATTCCACGTCCATGCCCGACCAAACTTGAGATGTCTCGTTGTATTCTGCAAATCCGGCACGTTCTCCCACCAGTCCACACCGAAGAAAGCCTCTTTGTCTAATGCTTTCCAGCGTCCCTCCTTTCACTGGTTCTGGCAGCGCTCCCTGGTGTAAGGATTCGTCAATCAAGATCTTGCCCAGAGGATCCGTTACCAAGAGACCTGTCTTGTTGGGTCCTCCTCGTTGGACCACATTCATTCCTTGGCGAGGGACTCTTCCTTCGTAGTGTTTGGCGTACAGCTCTCCGTAATTCCCAACGGCCCTAATGGCCTGTACAAACATGTCTTGATATTCCTCACCAAACAGTGTCGTGTTAGCAAAGGAATCCGCCGTTGCTTGGGTGATGTCGAGATACTCGGCCGTAATAAGGGCCCTGAGAACCCAGTTGCAAAACGCAGCCCATTGGGGATCTGATTGTCGTGTAATCATTGCCAGGGGATCAAACGACCACAGTCCTCTACTGGAAAACGTGTACTCTCCAGTGTAATTATCCACTTGCCGAATCCGATCCTCATAGATCTGTGCAAGAAGCAAGCGACCAGAAGCGGACCGGAAGTCAGATTCGTAAAACTAAAAAACAAAACAAAACATGCTTGCTTTCGCCAATCCCCTCTTACCTCTAAAATGTCCCCTGCCATGACATTGCAAGTTCCATTGACAAAGCTCTGTATGAGCTCGGGTCCATTGGCCACCAAGAGCGTGGAGGACCCTGGAACGTGTTTATTGACAATATCTTTGGTGACGGTAGCGGCAATGACACACACGACCAGTTTCCTGCAGTCCCCCGAGAATTCATCCCCTCGGTCGACACAATCGACAAAGGTCGGAAGACCTCCCATGGTAACGCCCGAGTAAAAGTACGGGTCCGAGTAGGCAAATCCATGACGGGATTCTTGTTGGTAGACATCTCTTGCCATGTTGAGCGTATTGAGAGTTGTGGAAATATCGACCGTACCATTGGCAATCGCACGGAACTGTTCCCGAAATGGAACTTTGAGAAAAACCACTTTGGACGGATCCTGAAAGACGGCGGCCGCCAATGCCCGACACAGATCCACGGTGAATCCGTGGCCCTGATTGACCTCGTAAGTTTCTGCCCGGCAACGAATTACACCATTCTTCCGGATAGTTTCCAGGACGGGGTCTGTGGGAGACGTGGAGAATGAAGAAGCTGCCGTTGTCGTTGCATCTGGATTGTCCGCATTATTATTATGTGTCAACAGGAGAGATAGAACGATCACAAGAACTGTCACAACCAAAATGGCAGTCAACGCCAAAATGAGTGGGACGAGTCGTTTCATTCCTCGTTTTGCCAACGATGTTTCCAGTTTGACCGTGCTCCTCGACGACGCGGATACGTCGTCGAATGGAGAATCACCGTCAAAAGGCGCCACTTCCAAAGCCTCAAAAGTGCAATCGGCAATTCTCTGCAATTCCTTTCGAAGAGCACGATTTTCTTCCTCTTTTTCGCGCAACAATTCGGACGGAGGACCCATTGCCAATTCGGCCACTACCGGGGGGCCGTACGCCATTGTGTGGTCCATGGCCGAGTTGCTGTCACCAGCTGCCACGACAATGTCGTTCGGTCCTGGAATGGAAAGCGCTCCTGGACTGCGAGACGACAATGGCGGACGTTGCTGCTTGACATTCAGACTGGCGCTTCCATCCGCCCCCATCGCTGGACTGCGGGAAGATGATGGCCGAACTTGATCTGCGAGCTTGAAACTCAGACTGGCGCTTGCACCCACATCGCCATTCCGCACAGCGGCTACACCTTCGCTCCAAGCCGAACGTAGGTTGGAACCGGCCGCTGCAACGCTTGTACCTACTCCAACACTTGTCAAAGTCGTCTTGTCGCTGCCATCTTGACCTTGACAAGATTCACCCTTGTTGGACTTTTGCATCTCCCCATGCATGGAAGTGACGGGAACTTGCAGACATTTCCGGGCAATGGCGGACTCTGCATCCATCATGGCTGGAAGACCCATGGCCACGGCAGCTTTTGGTTGCTGGTCGGCAGCCGTTGCCCTCTCACCAGAACAAGCTTTTCCTTTGGTCGTTTCCATGGTTGCGACTACTAGCTAGTATGATGTTGATGCTACTAGCTAGCAGCTCTACCGGTACAAGCACCAAACAAAACAAAAAACTGGAGGTACGGTATGTATACTGCAGCGGCGGTGCGGCGGAACCTCTCTTCCCCGCCTCGTCAATTTACAACGTGGCGGCTTCCGGGCTGCGGGCTGTGCATCGTGCACCGTGTTGCGGTGTTGTGTTCTAACTTGTTCTTTGTGGCCTCTTTGGTTTGCGGCAGCACAGCAGTTTTGAAGGGGTGATGAGTGATGAGGTGAGCCACGAGCATCCGTAATAACATTCAGCAATTCCGTCCTCAGATTGAAATTCGATTCGAATCGAATCGATTCGATTCGATTCGATTTCCTTCGTAATAATTGATAACTTTATAACCACCATCAGATTCGATTCTTCAAGACTATCATCTCGCAGCTCATCTCGCGGACATGCGGCTGCGGCAGATGTCTCTGAGCCGCTCCAGGTGCGGGACCAGGAGTGGCCTGCCTGGTGTTGGTCCAGGTAAAAGGGTTGCACCTCCAGGGGGGGGAGACGAACTGCGGAAGGCACATGCACTGCCGGGTGTGGGAGGACACCGATCAGGTCGTCCGACTCTCGAGTAGGTCCAGACGATGCTACTAGAGGAGAGTCATGTATGTGGGCCCTGGGGTTTGTCCATGGGTGAGGACTGGCTGGAGATGGGCCAGCCATGGCGGGGAGGGAACAGGAGTACATATTTACTGGAGTGTGTCCTCGCTCCAGGCAGGTCTCTAAACATGAGTCGAGTCGTCGGGTGTGAAATAGATGAACAGGCTTTGGTTCATTCGAAGCTACCAAGCCCGCTGCTTCCCCCCCGGAAGCATCAGCCAGCGCAAGGAAGGGTTGATCCTTTATTTGGAGCAATGTTACCTGGTACCCCGGGCCGCATCATTGAACAATGCACTTCGTGGGTGTTTACCGGTACAGAACCTGTAGTCTATACATGAGCTACTACATGCTAAAAAAGCTGGCTAGTCTAGGAGTAGTCTAGGGCTTGCTCATCACCCGAATAATGTGGTAGACAGTGCAAAACACTCTCAGGAAACGGAGAGCATTCTAGTTGGCTACACGTTGGTAGTACGTAAAACAAGATCGCATGAACCCTCTGCTACTGTTATAACTATAGTATGCATATATTACTATGTACATGGACCCGGTTGGATCAGTGACAAGCAACCTTATCAGCATCCCGCACTTTATTGTGCGCCGAAAGCTGCTCGAATGTCAGCCGCAGTCACAACGTCAAAGATTTCAAACGAATGGTCTTCGTCATTGAGCTGTTCTTCGTCGATATCATCAAACGCCTTGTCCAGCCCTGCGTCCTCGACAGTGGGGACGGGTTCGGCAATGGGGACCGGTTCCAGGAGATCACCCCATGTTGCACGAGCTTCTTGTTCGGAGGCATACGAGGAGTCGCATGTGTGTTGGGGAAGGTCGACAACATCCGATGCCTTGTCCAAGATGTGGTTGAGCCGTGCCAGGCTGTCATCTTGGAGTCCGAACGAGGAGTCCTGATGCAGGGTGCTGCTGCTGCCTTCCCAAGAAGCAAAGTATCCCGTGTTCCAACCGGCCCCGACACCGGACGCCGAGCACAGTGCATCCAACTGCGAACAGTTCTGCGTCATGGGCATCATGTTCTGTCTCATCAACGTGTTCAAGGAGGTCGGGGAGGAGGTCGAAGAAGAAGCCACCAAGGAAGCGGATGCGACTTGGTCTTGCTGAAAACCACCCATCATCATGCTGGAGGGGGCCTTGGGAGGGGGCATGATGGACGTAGCTGTCTTGGCCTTGGCTTGGACACTGCAAGTCGAGGAGGTCGGGCTGGCCGGAGCGGGATCGGTCATCTTGACACGTCGCCTGCGTCGTTGCTTGCTCTGCTTGGAACTCTTGTAGGCCATGTGGTTGGTATCACGAAACGCTTGGGCCACGTTGGTACGAGCGGCAAACGGGGTGACTTCGTACCAACGACCGGTCTTGGCGTCTTGCTTGACGAACCCCACACGGCCCTCGTTGGTATCACGAACTCGTTCCACAATCCTGACCAACACACCGGACTTTTTGTTCTTGCAGCCACACACAGAGTAAGTGGGGAGTTCGGCGCGGACAATTGCAAACAGACGACGATTTCCTTCGTGGGCCTTGATCTTCTTTCCTCGGCCAATGATCACCGTGTTCGAGGACGGGGCAAAGTCTTCGGGCAGCAGACGAGGCTCCTCAACCACCGTCTCTTCCTTGGACATGGTCGAAGTGGGTTTATCTTCAGAAGCAGAATCCATCGTGAAAAAAGTAAAAAGGGCGAGGTTTTGGTAGTAGTGCAAGCGTAATAATAGAAAGCAAGTGGTCTTCTAAAGTCTTTTGCTTTTAGCCTGAGTGGTTTTTATGAACACTTCGGAAGAGGAGTGAAAGATCTGTGAAAGTTGGCTGCCAGCTGGGTGCCTTGATGGGGCTCTCATTTGCAGCAAAACAGTTTACTCTACCGGACCCTACGACCTACGACCCTACATGTGCCTTGCCTTCCCAATTCCTGGTAAAAGGAGTACTCAGTACCGGGCCTACGTCAAGTGGGTGGGTGTGTCCGATAAAGAAGCTCAGTACAAATTGTACTGCGGCACTGCGGTTCTACTTGGACTCCTAAAGCGGTCTCTCCCGGTCCATTGTGCCACCACCGACTCTACTAAAAGCCTTACAGTTGATGACCTCAACAGTCAGGCCCACATAATTGTCTAATTCCGAAGGGCGACCTCCCTGTGGCTCTAACTCGGAAGTAGTTCTACTGACAATTAAGTGTCAACAACCCGATTCTAGCATAGAGGAGAAATCTCTTATGTCGAAAAACTATGGATGATTGTCCCGGCATGTATGATATTTAACTGGAAGGCCTCCTGAGTCATTCGATTTACTGGCTCTTTGCGCACCGGCATTAGAGCTCGGGAAATTCGGAGCTAAGCTGAGTTTCTTGTGTTGCTCTTGTGTGCAAGAAGTCGCGTCATCTTTAAATAAAGTACACACGACTTCGGTCATGCAGTCCTGACATGGAATTAAAGCTTTTACCAAAACCGACTCCATTGTCTAAGCAACGAAGATACACCGTAGATTTTTATAGTGCTTCTGTGTCCAATACTCAGTAGCTACTTACGAGTATAGCATTATAGCTGCATTTTACTCCAAGAACAGGCATTAAGAACATAGAAGTTGATGTTACTTGAGAACGAGGGCATATGGAAGGTCTCTAGCCAGTCTCTAGAACAAGAAGCTTGCGACGATGGTCAAATTTGTTAGTTAGTTGGTTGATACACACAGGTCCAAGTACCAGGGACATTGTTACCAGGTACCACTGTACGTTGTACGGCCGTTTTGCAGCTGTGGAGCTCCTGTGGATGACATACGGTAAAGCTAAATTTAATGACCTGCAGTCGAGGCTTCGAGGGAAGCCTTGCGAAAATCGATGTATCATGTTCCAGCGTTCCTACAAAACAACTAACTAAACTACCTTCTTGTCCAGATTCCAGAAAGTGGTCTTGATACGTGTGCCTGATCTGTGACTGACGGTATGTCGCCTTTGTTTTGAATAACTGAACTGGATTTCGTAATAAAGTGCACGTGATAACATCGCAGACATGAGTTACGTTGAGTTACGTGAGTGCGAGAAGTCAGTGTTCGGTAGTCAAAGGAAGAAGCATTCTTGTTCATTGCCCTTCTGAACTAACACTGACTAATTCAGAAAGACGCCTTTCCAACGAATGGCCTTTCCTTTGGACAGTCTCGATTGAAAAGGAAAAGGAAGCCAATAATTCCATTTGGATGCTAGTCAACTCAAGTGAAGTTCTCTGGAGTAATGGTTTAGCATTCACGTCTCTTCCTCAACTTTGTGTCCTTGAACGTGCTCTACTAACTAAGTGGAGTTGACTCCCAGCTTATAGAAAGATATTACTTTGTTAGTACAGTACTGTAAATTTTAAATTTTTGGTATCTGAGCAGTAACAGCAGGACCGAAAAGACTCTACCGGTAGCCACTCAGTTTGAAAGGTCCAAAGAAGACCAAGAGTGTGAATGGGCGAAGTGGCGTACTATCGTACCAGTACGGTACCGCTAGGTAGTGGAGCGTAATAAAATAATGGTTACCGGTATTAGCAAGAATACTACTAGTCTACTAGTACTAGCTAGTAGTATTGGGATCGGTTTGTTTGGCTCTCCAGCTATCGGTCAAGCAGACGCACTTGAACACTTGAACTGGCCACAATGGACCCTGGCAAGCAGCATCCTAGCTACTGAGTAGTGGCAAGCTTGATCATACTACCAGGACCACGATCAAATGAAGCTCGATCCAATGATCCAATCCGAAGCCTGGAAGTAGCTAGCCTGCCAGTGGTACCGGTGTACTGTTAGCTTCTTTATTATTAAAGGAGCTATTAAAGGGCAGAAAATAGCTGCGTTGGCATTTTAGGCTACATGGTGCTGCATCGGCATCATCCCGTATTGTACCTCGGCTGATGAGTTCCACCCATGAACAGCTGGCTTTAGACAAGGGTTGCGGATTGCGGGATTGCGAAGACGGCGAACTTCGAATTTCGAACAGCTTCTGCGGTGGGGAGCTCCATTGGGACAGTCCCACTCGACTGGTTGGCTTCAATGCTTCAATGCACGCATACATACTCAGTAGGTCTACATGTAGAAGCTCATGTAGTATTCTCTTTTTGTGCTGAGCCAGCTCGTGCTGGGGGGGCTCCATCAAGGGACCCACTAAAGTACCGGTATCATTGTTGTTCCTCTGGGAAAAGAGAAAAACGACAGTGCAGCTACTGCGGAAGATAAAACCTGGCAATGTTCCTTGCTGCAGTCCTACTAGCTAGCTATTAATAGAATAATGCAGTCAGGATTCAGCAGGATGCTGCTCTATTTCAGCAAGATGACAGTTTACAGCCAGTTTACTAGTACTGCTCTATTTCAGCAAGATGACAGTTTACAGCCAGTTTACTAGTACCGCCGGGCCAAAGGCGGGGCCAGCAGGTCAAGCAGAAACAACCAGGCTTCGCTGCGGTACCATACCTGGTATCAATGGTAAAAGCTACTAGTAGACTAAAAGCTACTAGTAGACTACTCTAGGCCATTCCTTTCGTTTTTGGAGCCCAGCCAGTTTCAAACAGTAAGAAGAAGATAAAACCCTGCAATGTTCCTTGCTGCAGCCGCAGAATAATGCTGTCAGGATTTAGCATTATGCTGCTGCTCCGCTCTGGCTAGACTAGCTACCACTCTGAGTAGCTAGTAGCCAGTTGCAGTTCGAGTCAGTCCGCTTGTGAGGACAATGCTGCACCATACCGGTAAATTTCAGCGATTGTCTGACTCAGGCTCCATCAAGGAGGAAGACTTGGTGGACAAGGTTGATATGTTGTGTGGTTAGCCTGGAGCGTTCCTCAATCATGCATGACTTTAAATCCGACCCTAATTTAGGGTCGGTTTGGGGGAATCCGTCCTAAATATAGGGACGGTTTCGAAACCCGACCCTAAATCGAAACCCGTCCCTAAATTAGGGACGTTTTTTTCAGAAAACGTCCCTATTTTTCAGAAAATGTCACTATTTTTAGGGTCGGTTTCGAAACCCGACCCTAATATTGGTGCGTTTTCAATGTATTTACCAGGCAGTCCCGTTTCTATTTAAGGACGTTTTTCAAACCGAACCCTAAAACGAAACCCGACCCTAAATTAGGGACGGTTTTTCAGAAACCGTCCCTATTTTTCAGAAAACGTCCCTATTTTTAGGGTCGGTTTCGAAACCCGACCCTAAAGGGAATCCGACCCTAAATCCGACCCTATTTTAGGGTCGGTTTCATGCACGATTGAGGAACGCTCCTGATAAGTACATTGTCATGTGATATGATACTTAGCTTCTAAAGGTTCTAAAGGTTATCAGAGGCCTTGCTTGACTTGGTCGCGCATTTGAATTATGTAAGGTTAGGGTTGAAGTTTTCTTTCTTAAACGCTTTCCATTATTGGAAAATGCGATAATGCTGGGGTGAGGATAACCGCTGAAGAACAATTATTACGAGTATAAGAACCATGGTTTGAAAGGCTGGGGTATTTAAAAAGCTTTAAAATGGTTGGCATAATTACCACGGATTCGAGAAGAACTGTCTTTTTCCATGCTCTGAAGTGGATTTCCCACCCTCGGATGGAGATTTTCCTTCCCGGTACAACCGTCCTGTGCATTTCCACGAGGGCCAAATGCGACCTCCTGACCCAACCACCAAGGAAACGTCTCAAACTATCTCTAGTCTTAAAAGGGGAATGGACTCTAATTAAATCTCAAGGGAAATTCCCTTCCGAGTTCCGAGGGTCCGAAATCTGCTTCAGGTGGCGGGAAATCCGCTTCAAAGCATGGAAAAAGACAGTTCTTTCCCAATCCGTAGAGTATCCGTAGTATGTTTTACCCCAACTACATACTCTGTAGTATACTCCATCCGTACCGGTAATAGTACTCCGGAGATAGCTTTTTTTGCTTTATGCAGCGTTGAGACACAGTATCAAATTTAAAGTACACCCCCGCTACTCTGACAAAAAGATCCGGATTTTCAAAAAAGTCCGGATTTGCTCTGGATCGCCCAGAATCACCAGGTGAACACAGTTTAGAATGAACTGCTTGTTCCTGCCTGGACAAATCCTCATAAAAAAACACACCACCTTGGCTGTCAAAGATGCCTTAGCATTTTAACCAATAGAGCCACCCTAGCAATACTTTGAGACAGGGAATACATAATTTGGATGTGCCGGTCGCAGTGGTGGTAGTGGCTTGCCCATTTGGTGGCCTTGGAAGTGAATATTGACTAGCAAAGTGGGGAACTCATTTTTGCCTTTTCTATTGGTGCCAACAGCCTCCAGCTGATCTTAGATCCCAATTCCGGTCGAACCGAGGCATACCAAAGCCGTCATATATACACATATGCGGTCAAGGAAGCCTGGAGACTGCTGAGAGTGAATCTGCTGTTCCTACGAGATCGTCGAGGACTACTAAAGAGGAGCCAGCCATCCTGTGTCGTCAAACGGCCGTCATCTAACGGAAGACGCTATTAACTCGTTGATCCAACTCACTTTCAGTGGTATGATTCTCGCTAATGGACTACAATGTGTCCATTAGATCAATAGATATGATTGCATTGACAGCAGAAGGGTGGCACAGTCCGGAATAAAGGTGAAGCTGAGAACTTGTGGAAATATTTGGAAGAAAAATGAAGCATCCAGTTTGACATAAGATAATGCCTGCTACATGGCTGTTACCACTACAACCAGCACATGGCTGCAACAAGCAAAGAATGTAGATAACTCTACATGTTTAGTTTGGTTGTTTACATGCTACATTAGTCTCTTAGTCCATGACCAGAGCATGGTGTTGTGATGAGGAGAAAAGTGAATTATCTTACAATTACTCAACGGAGACTCTTAATGTCAAGGGTATTTCGCATTTGTATTTTCATTTTTGCTTCCATTTTGATAATTTAGTTCATTTTGGCCCATTTATATAAATTTAAAATTTATTTACAGGATAGTTCTTTGTTTCACTTGCAAAGCAAACCAGCCTGTATAGAAAACTCTGGATCCCGACTAAATCGTCAGAGTAGCCCGGAACTGGCAAATCCAATGAAGGCCAAGCTAGCAAGCTAGGTGCTTTAAAGTGAGGAAAGAGAGCACTTCAGACCTGTGTCAAAAAGAGTGCAGAAGCTACCAAAGACAACCTACCACAATTCCTTCATTTTTTTAAGCCTTTCACTGGGGTCAGTTGAATTTGGTGCCATAATTTGGTGCCGGTGCAGTTCTCCTGCACCGTCCTCGCACCGCACTGCACCAAAATTAGGGGCACTTCAACTAGCGTAACTAGAGTAACTGACGTAACTAGCGTAACTAGCGTATGGTAACTGACGTAACTGGCGTGCAACTGATGTAACTGGCGTAGAACATTGGAGGACGACTAACGTGGTCGTCATTTCAACTAGCTTTGTATTGTAAACAACTCTATAGAGACAACAGAGCAACGGCAACACTGTTTATAATGAATTACATTTAGTTTTCAAGCTTTTGCAGCACTTAAATCACTGCAGTGGCACCTGCCTCTTTTCCAACAGCTGAGCTCTGTGAGATTCATCCAAGTCAGTCAAACAAGAGGATGATCCAAGTCAGTCAAACAAGATGGTATTGCTTCTTTGAATCAAGCTCTAGAGCAATACAATTAATTTGGTGTTAGTAGAATTTTAATGATTACTCTGTAGTAGATAAAACCTACTTGTAACTCAGTCATTGATAGCTAGCTAGCTAGTAGCTATAGATCAACAGCAGCAGCACCAGCAGCAGCAGCAGCAGCAGCACCACCACCACCACAACCAGCACCAGCAGCACCAGCATGTAGTATTGGTACATGAGTCCTCAGTCAACATGCCATGGAGATTCTTAATAACAATGCTTTTAAATTTTTACTTTTAACATTTTTACCTAAAAGTAAAATTTCATTTTTGTACAGGCTGGTTTCTCTGCGTCTCCCACAAAAGACACACTTGGTACATTTGCTTTAAGTCTTTGAGTCTCTCACTGGTTAAATAATTGGCTACTCATTAAATACTTAAGAACACTAGGTTCTTCTAAGGACTTAACAACTTCAACTGACGTGGAAGGTGCCATTCTCCTTTAGGAGCACTGCACCAAGGAAATGGCACCAAATTCACCCGACTCTTTCACTGCACTAGTAATGTTCACCTCAAACCTGAAACAGTCTTTTGAATTTTGTCATCTTCTGCGTGAAAGGAAGTGCGAAGAAGTCGGCTCTCGGCTCTCAGCTGTTTCTCACACCGCGATCACAACCTCGAAGCAACCAACTTTCATCTCACTCAAGTAGGTACTGTAGAATTATCGTTATCCCCCCAACAGATATTCACAAGAGACCGTCACGACAATGAGCGAGAATCACGAGAAGGAGGCACCACCAAGCACAGTGCCATCTTGCACATCTGTAGGTGTCGGCAGTAATAATGACGACGATGCCCTGTTATTCCGCAAGATTGTCGAAATGCGCCTTGGTCCTAATGGTAGTGGTAGTGTAGTAGGAGACAGGTCAGCGGATGCTCCTTCAGCAGGTGGAGAAGATTTGGAGAAGGGCCATTGTTCCTCGCCAACTCGGCAGCAGCAAGAAGATATCTCTTTGAGCAACGACGATGACTTGAATCTTTTGGATGTTGTTGCTGCACGCATCGCGGGCAGTGGCGCCCCAGAGGCAAATGATATCAACCAACTAAAGGGGCTGAAGGATGACCTTGCCAATGCCACCAAAGTTGCAACCGGCGTACCGACAGAAGCGCAGAAAAAGACGGAAGCTAAGAAGCAAAAGGGGCTCAAGGATGACCTTGGCATTACCGCCTTGGTTGCAACCGGTGTACCGACAGAGGCGAAGCAGAAAAACACAGATATCAACCAACTAAAGGGACTGAAGGATGACCTTACCAATGGCGTCGAGGTTGCGACTGATGTACCGCAACATCACATGCCCACATTACAGAGGGATGCAATTGGTTTTGTACACAGCATCCCTGGTGCCTATCATGTGGCCCATCCCGATGCCAATCCAGTAGTACCAGATCAGCTGCAAGTCGATGATAGCGATATGAGCGAGCAGCAAGATGCTTCAGAGACGGATGAGGAAGAAGGCACATCTGACCCAATGGCTCCATTGGAAGCTACAGTGGTGGGACGCCGCCGCCGAAAAAAAGGTCCTATCAGTGTTCGTGCCAGTCTGACGGTAGAAAGTGTAGAGGCAGCCCGAGTCAAGGACTCCTCGCGGTATTCTGGACCATTGCGACTTGTCGCCGTGATCTTTCTAGTTGGAGTGGTGATTGCTCTCCTTGCCCTTGGCTTATCTGGGGCATTTGAAAGCAGCAAAAACCCTGATACTAGTAGTAGTGATGCTAGCAACGCAGGCACAACAGGGTTCAGCAACGATGATGCCCCCGTCAAATCCACACTCGAAATGTACGTTGACCTTCTTGCAAGAAGAAACACTCTGCCCTCTACTCTACTCAACCCTCAATATCATATACTCTTCGCCACACAGAATAAAAGAAGAGGGTGTCCTGAAGTGTGGATACAGGCCCATTAAGATTGCCAATGGAGATATTGAGGGATTTCTAGCTGCAATAGTGAGTGGTACTAGTAGACACAGCAGAAGCAAATGACAAGACCGAATTCAATTGATCTAACTCTACGTTTTTGCTCTGTCTCCATCATGCAGTGCCAAGTTGTTTCCGCTGCCATTTTTGGTCCATCGGCTCCCGTCGAGTTTGTCGATCGTGGGTCCCTAGCAAAGTTTGAGGGATTGGTGGAAAAGAAAATTCATCTCGAGACGTTTGGCAACACTCACAACATGGGTCGCGATGTGTTCCGCTCCGAAGTCCAAACAGGCTTCAAATGGTCCATCCCGTTCATGTATGCTGGAATGAGACTCGCCGGTGACCCCAAGTTTCTCAGGTGCGCTGAAAACAAGTGGCGTCACTTGGAAGAATGTGAAGCATTGGGGGTTTGTGTTTGGGATGGTAGCAGCTACCACAAAACCCTCACGGATATTCTGCCTAGACGGAATATTGTTGTCATGGAGGATATCGCACAGACCCAACAAGCACTGATCAATGGGACTTGTAATGTCGTGACTGGTTCCGCCTTCATAATGGCAACAGAGGAAGCCATGAGAGAAGCAGGATACAAGGGAGACTATGAGATCAGCAATGGAACTTTTTCAAAGGAACCGATAGCCGTTGCCACTCGTGAGGATGACCCTGAATGGTCTGACTTTGTGAATGCTGTCATCATGGCCCTCTTTGTCGCCGAGAAACACAACATTACAAAGGACACAGCCACCTTGTTCCCACAGACCACACTGTTTGGTGGTGACTATACGAACATGTTCCGCAATGCGATCGGTTATGCTGGCAACTACGGTGAGATGTGGGAACATTTCCTAGAATGGGGCGTCCCTCGTAATTCACTCAACCGGATCAATGACGGCACATCTGGGCTTTTGTACTCACACCCCATCAAAGAGATTGGCGATTCACGTGGCAGTGTTCCATTGGGCGAGAGATTGACAAATATCCGTGAAAGGGGGCATCTAAATTGTGGAGTCTTGGTGGGGCGACCTGGCTTTGCGGAAAAGTCTAACGATTCATCCTTGGGCTACACAGGGATGGACATAGACTATTGCAGAGCATTGGCGGGAAGTTTGTTCCAGGGCTTCAGCAAATCCAATATCAATGTCATTGAGCTAACGAGCAATCAAGATGGGTTCGTCCAGCTTCAGAATGGAACTATTGATGTATACGCGGGGGCGACATGGAACCTTGAGAACGACGTCCATGAACCAACTACAGGATTGGGTTTTGCATTTTCAAAGCCTTACTTTTTCTATCCGATGGAAGGCAATTTCGCTCTTGCAACAATGCAAGATGACCACGACTGGAGTGCCTTCGTCTACTGGGTGGTTGATGCCACGGTCCATGCGGAGGAGCATAACATTACGCAGCAGACGTCCAACGATATGCCTGAAGTTTTGGTTTTTGGGGAGTCGCTTCATCGAATGTTCAGGGACGCTATCCTCGAGGTTGGTAACTATCAGGAGATTTATTCTCGAAATGTCAACCAGTTCATCCCAAGGGTGGCGGTAACATGTTGAATGTTTTCCCCGACTTTGGGCCCCAACACTATCTCATACCAGGCTTCATGTGATTCGGAGGACGGCAGTGATTTCACGAGCTTGGATGGCAACACGCCAGTCAGAAGTGTAGTGCGGATCGGATCCGCGAAGGCAATACTTACAACGCTGCAACCGCTTTGACTGAGAACAGTAGCCATTTGTTCCACGATTTGCTTGGCAGTGGGTCAACGAGTTTGTAGACGTATCATTTCTTCGCACCGGTGCTGGGTGCTGCTGTTCAGCTTGCCGACAATCGTAGTCATCTTCGCGCAACTCTAAAAGTTGCTGAAGCTTGTGGTTGATAGTTGACCCCTCAAATCTGAGAACCAAGCTGCGCACGGGCGTCACTCCAGCTACAGCGCTATGTGTCTCGTGGTGGCTACATGTAGCTAGACGGCAATCAGCAAGTCGCAGGTAGGTGGTTGAATGACGGCGATCGACGCTTCCTCTCGCTATTCGATGCCGGCCGGAATACAGGGGCGGCATTGCAGGCAAAAGCGAGCCCGGGCAAAGTGAACTGAGCAGTGCAAACGTTTCACCGTCAGTACACTGCGCATGAATGCATCAGAGCAAAAAGTTATGTAGTTGTCACAGTTGATGTTGAATGTCAGCAATTGACTCTTTTTTGGGGATTCGATGCCTCCACTACTATTACTACTACGGTGGCCCAAACCACAATTGCGTATTCTTGTCAAAGGATGTTGTGACGAGAATATCGGTGGACGATGACGAGCACATGTCTCGAATGGTTTGGCTGTGAACGTCTTTGTATCGTTGCACGAGCTGAGTACTGGAAATATCCCAGACGCAGAGACTCGAATCGGCTTGGGTGTTGCCCAACAAATACTGTCCGTTGCTACTCCAGGCGACCTTTGGGTTGGAGAATCCATCATTCTGATGCCCGTACAGGTTGCGAATATGTAATCCCGTCTCCATTTCCACAATAATATTCCGAGAGGCATCCGTAGCCAATGCCAAGTATTTTCCGTTGGGACTGACGGCCATGTCCATGACGGCAAAGGAAACGTGCTGATCCTCCATACTAGTTCCCGCAGCGGCTGGTTTACCTCCGTGGTTCAAACTGAGTTTGCGAAGTTGGAAATCCTTGGTCGTATCAAAGCACTGGAGATATGGTTTCTCTCGTGCATAGCAGCAGAGTTCGTCCGCCACAAAGCAGACGGATTCCACAGCATGTTGTAGATGCAATTTCTCAATGGTGGTCACGTGAATTGTCGTTTCGTCCTTGACATAATCAATTTTCACAGCCACTTGATGAACCTGTACGGTACCATCTGCAGAAGCTGTTGCCAACAGATGATTGTCACTACTATTGGTAGTTGTCCTCCACGCCACAGACTTGACGTATTTTCCATGTTTGGTTGGAATTTTGGTAGTGGCTTTGACGACGAGACCCTGTCCAGTGACCATGTCGTAGTGAACCACCCAAACACTCCCATCCATGCAACCCGCGGCAACCATTTTTTGTGGATGCGTCGCAATAGCAATGACAGGGCCATCACAACGAACGCGACAAGCTTGAGCCACCACTTTTTTGGAGGATTCTTCATCCGAAGCAGCTCCCCACGCGCAGAGAGACAAATGACAATCGGCTCCTCCCGTGGCCAACACAGTTTCGTCGCTACTGAGGGCACAGCAGCTGGGATTGGCCAAACCGTGTAAATTGAGAAGTGACACTTCTGGCTTTTGTGGATAAACGCCATTGCCCGATCGCAAGAAATCTTCCGATTCGACAGCACTGTCGGTTGTTGTTGTATCCATGGCATCATCACTGCTAGCGACACTCAACTTGGAAAACCCAGTGAGAGCGGCTTCCTTCCGATACAGTTCCACTTCCGCTTTGAGAGATTCATTTTCAATCGTCAGCTCCTTCACCCGAAACGACAAGTGCTTCACCTTTTCTTGGAGCACGGCATTTTCCGATCGGACTATATTATAAATCATAGACACGACAGCACAAATCATAGAAAAAGGATGCGAATGAAATTGCCACATACATAGAGACACGAAAGAGCATTGGTGATGAGACACAAGAAAGAAGAAGAAACGTAAATTTGAGTCTGAGATCACAGCAATGTTTCGGCAGAGACAAATCCACTGCAGCCTCCATCTCAATCTCCGTCATCGAAAGCCTACCGGATGTCAGCTGATCAGCGTTGCCAATGTCTCCCAATAGGTCCATGGTCAAGGTTCAACAAAGAGTGAGAAAGAAGAGCACAGAGCATTGGCGGAAGGGAAAGAATGATAAATCGAATGATTCAGATTCGTTTCAATCGAATGATTTACCGAACCAAATCGATTCGATTCGAACCGATTAATGATTCGCCGCCCCCGCGCTCTGATGACCAACTGAAGCTGTCACGCCGTTTGCAACACTTCCCCATTCCCCCGCACCAAGCACTAAAAAGCAACCAGATCGACAAGAACACAATGCCACTGAGATGCAGTCGATACCGTAGTCCCCTCTGCAGTAACCCATAGTAACCTCTTCTTTCAACATTGCATCCATCCACATCACAATAGAGACCATGGATCAAGCACAACTGGAACAAAGCCTCAATGTCATCAAGTCAAAGCCTGTTGATCCCTTGATGCAGCTTTCCGAGGCGGAAATTGCCAGGGCTGTCAACATCAAGGCCAGTGTCGAGCAGGACGACAGAATTCAGAATCGATCCGATTTTGAATATGTTCAGTATGCCCTCACAAACCTCAACGAAACTGTGGAACAAGTTCTGGAGCGTGTCTACTTGGTGCAATGCTTTCGGCAAGAATACAGACTCAACGACACTCCTGAAGAGGGGGCCGAATTCCTTCGCAAGTGGTCCCTCATGTGTCCGGGGCTCATACTTGCTGTGGATCATCTACCAATACATAAAAACTACACTGTAACTATTGATATGTCAAAGCTTCTCCCCAAAGAACAAATTAAAACAGATGAAGACTTGAGGGTTTATATGGCTGGCCATTATTACTATTGGAACAGTCTCTACCCAAACTTTATGGCCATTCGACAAGGTTGGACTTGGGTTGTGGAATGTGAGGGGACAACAATGGCATCCTTGGATCCAGAGCTGATTGAAAAGTCGGGGCATCACCTTTTCAAATCATATCCCAAAAATGAAAAGAGCATATTCGTGCTCAATACATCCACAACAATCAACATCTGGTGGTCCTTGTTCAAGAGATTTGTGCCCGCCGATCAAAGAGCCAAATATCATTTGGGATATCAAATTGAAGGTTTTGAAGGACGGCGCATTGATGGACTCTACAAGATGCCAACAGAAGAAGCAGGAAGACAGAGAATGATCAGCCATGTCCACGAATTCCTGACACTTCGGAAAAAGAATGAAGCTGAATTTTCCTTGGTGGGGGCAGCTCTCCAGATTATGACACCAGAGGAGGTGCATCAGGTAATTGCAAACCAGAATGATCGGATGGCTGACTAGCTCAACATGAACGTTTTAAGAAAACTTTTGCACATTCATTACTTCGTGTGGTCAAGCAAGTAGTAGCTAGCTAGTAGTCCCAACAGAACAACACCCAAGACCTTGAATAATTTGCAGCAATTTCTCCCCCAAGAACAATCCCAAAACGATGAAGACAAGAGCAGTGATTTGACTCTTCTCCACTGTCACATACTGGTACCGTACGACTGTAGAGGAGCGCTACCGCTAAATAATCAATCGATTGGAGTCGATCTGTTACAACAATTCTGCAGAATCCCAAAATTCTGCAGAATTCAATGAAAATATCTGCAGAAAAAAATATTCTGCAGAATTTTAATTTTTCTCTTATGCAATTCTGCAGAATTATATTTTTCTGCAGAATTACCCCTTTTTCTGCAGAAATACGGGTCATAGGCTATTAAAATCCCCCACCCATGTTGTGGCTCCACTATTTCTATTCAGTTGCTTTGCTTTGTTGATGCTGCTGCATACATCTGGGGAGAACTGTTATGGCTGTCACTAGCTGGGAGAGTTGATTGGTAGCTAGCTAGTGATAACTAGCTGGGGCCTCCGCAGAATATTTGGAATGGAGTAGAAACCACAGAGACGTCGCTGAACGGGAAGGTTGATTGGTAGCTTGCATCTCAGCATAATACTTGTAATGGAACTGGGAATGGATCTGAGGGCAAGCAGCTCTGGGAGAACCAACTGCTGGCTCGGGCTAGCTAGCTATCACTGGCTAAGAAAGATGATTTGATTACTACTAGGTAATGCTTGCTAGCTAGGTAGCTAGCCAGCTAGCTACCTAGAGGTGGCCTCAAGAGAGGCCCAGCAAAGCAACTACCACGACTGGTAACCTGTTACCCTCCCAGCCAAAACCGTGACACTACCAAACTTGCAACAAGCCAACTCCGCAGTGTCTGGTTGGCTAGCTAGCTACCATGCACCAGTACCAGTACGGGGAGTTGCGGAATATTAGCATGGTCATTGAAAGAACAGCCCGGATTGGAAAAAAGCCTGGATTGATTCTGCAGAATTAGGAATTTCACAGAATCGGTGCAACAGATCCGATTCTGCATTCGATTCATCGGATTGAATCGAATCATCGGTTTCCTTTGGGCGAACGGGTGTCCACTTTGCACCAAAACCCGAAACTCATCAGCGTGCTTGTGGTGGTGCCGTGGTATGGTGTCATCTTCATTTCACGCCTACCGTACAGTAGCTAGTTGGATTACCACAAGATTTCACCATGGCGTCTCTGTTGTGCACTTTTTGCGGGGACGCGTTCGCCGCAGACAAGAACTCACCCAAGGCGCCAATCTGTGGGGAGCGGTGTGATCACACCCTCTGCCGCCAATGTGTTTGGAACTTGCAAGACGAACAAGCAAAGTCGAACTGGAGAATGAAAATCCTCCATTGCCCGCTTTGTGGAGCTCGAGGATTTCGTACCAATGGCACAGCACCAGAATGTCTCTACACTGCCATTGCCATGCTCGAAGGCAATGGCGAACCACGCGCGAAACGAGCAAGGACCGAAGATCTTCCGGTGCATCCTCCAGCTTTGTCGTCCGTCGGAGCAGCACCTCGAATGGAAACCAACGCTGTGGCTTCTTTGCCTACAACAACAGCTACCGGTACCGGTATTGTCAACACTCCTACTGCTGTCCGCCGCAACACCGCAGTGGCAGCGGCGACCACAACCGCTCCAACAGCTGGCACGGATCTTAGTGATTTTCGTCTCGTCGAGAACGACCCGGATACACAAAACGCCCTTCTTCTCAGCCTCGCTGATCTCAATCCAGGAACCACCAATGATGGTCGTGGCGTGCCAGATGATGAACGCGACCCAGACACCCAAGAGGCAATTCTCCAGAGCCTAGCAATTGGCGACAACAACGACGACGAAGAAGAAGGAGAAGAAGAACACCAGCAAACGACACAGGTGACCGGTCAAGAAAACTGTGGTGAGGGACGATCCTCGTCGGACGAAACGCGTGCTAGCTCGACGATCGAGATTGGACTTCCTTCGGGCAGCCAGAGTGCGGCCACGGGAGGATCGAACCTCGAAGAAGAGAGTTCAGCTACGCCTGGGACTCACCGTCAATCTGCCGAGTCAGTCGGAGGAAGCTCGTTGCCAAATATCCAAGGACGAGAAGAAGACGAAGAAGCCGCTCCTGTCACCATGATTGAGGTCGCCATGGTGCACAGTGCGATTCTCCAGGCGATCCCATTTCACGGGGAAGGGTCAGCGTATTCTCCCCTGCTTTTGGACAACGATATGGAGTTGGTGGAAGGGAACGAAAACGGCTGTTGGAAATGCAACGATTGCTGGAGACAGAAATCCTCGCGAACACAAGCATTGGGCGAACCCGTGCGTGAAGACACGAACGACCAAACAGAAAGTAGCTCTCGGGGAGGATGAGATGCTGAGTCCAGCAAGGTTTGGCAATCTGTCGAGGGAGAGCCCTCCTCGAACGCACAGATCAGTTCTTGAACAGAACAGCAGTAAAATCTCTTAGTAAAATATTGCATTTCAGCGCAAGTCTCCGTTGGGTCTGTATGATCAACAGAGGCAGTTGTTTGGAAATCATTTGAGTCAAGGCGACAATTCAAATCCCGATTTCAATTCTTTGGCCTCATCAACATCCAGCGCTGGCGGAGCACCCGCCTCCGGAAGGTCGACCCCAACCTCTGGACCACCAAAGAATAGGATTGCTGCCATTCCTTCGTCTGGAGGAAAAGCAACGGAAATGGCAGATCCTAAAGCTTGCATTATTGAGAGAAAGGACGGCCATAAGGGACACCTGGGATCGGACAGTGCGAATTGCTCGGCCTGGTGGGCCCTCGTTTATGGATGGATGATCGGCAACATTGACGAACTTGTGGCGAAGCAAATCAACGAGGCAAATGGCGCAGAAGAGGAGAAAAAGACGAAAGATCGTATCTACAAAGCCCTGGTGATCCTAGCTAATGGTGTCTCGGGAGGCGAGAAGGGAATGAGGAGTGACAACCGAAATATTTTGTACGTCCCAAACCCCCACGATCAATACTACGACAAGGGTTGTAACTGGGTGATCTTTCCCATCATGCAACCTGACGAAATGGTGAATTGGGCGGGTCAGACCTACGATGTTGCAATATTTGCTGGCGAGACAATCCCTGAGGTCCAAGGAAAGGGCAATATTTGGAAGGATGGGCCCTCCAAATTCAGTGCCGAACAGGCTGAAGAAGCCCTTTTCAACAAGCTGCACCTAGGAGAAGAAATCGACATCTGCACTACAGAGGACCTCAAAAAAGTAGCAAAGGGCTTGGGTGAGATGGGTCTTGCACTATCAGATTTGCATACGCGTGGATCGAGTTCAGATTTCAAGGTTAGAATCCTTGATCTGGCTTCCGCCGTCAACGAATACATCGTCAAAGAAAAGCCCCAGCAGCTTGGTCGGAATCAAGACCATGACAACATTGTCAACGGGATCACTAAACTCATTGATGAGCTAGGGACGCGGAGCTTCTCAGTTCCCTTACCACCGACCAAAAATCATTTCGGGCAAGAAAAGAAGAATGTCTTCAAGGCCCGCATCCAACAATCGAATGCCCCCGATCCCATTGCATTGGCTGCAAAAGGCGCCAACAATTTCTATCGCCAGTGGGGTATTCGCTTGCTGCCGGGGTGTCACTCCAATCCTACTGACGATGATTCATCCTCTATCAACGTCTGTTTCTTGTTGCCCTGAGTTGTTGGTACTGGGGCCCTGCTTGGGGTTGTTTAATGATGAGATTTTCTAAACAATGAATGGTAATAACAATAACAACATAGAGTAGATAACTAGCTAGAAAGTGTGGCTTTTGCTGCTCGCTATGTAATGCCAGAATCGTACCAAAACCTGTTAGGAATTTTTTCTTTCAGCTATTATTTTTCTTATTTTCAGGTACTGATCGACTACATTTACTCTAACTGTGTAAGCGGCCCAGGCCCCGGGGAAGTCATGCCTCTAAAATCAACCTGGGTATGGTACTAGCACAACTTGGCTCCGAAGTGGTACTTGTCGGGCAAACAAAGACACGAGACTCCACTCCATTGAAGTTACCTCCGCCCCTTCTCCTTCTTACCCCACAGGCTTTTTTAGTGTCTGCAGCATCGGAAATCTTTTGACCATACTTGCTACGGTAGCCGCCGAGCCAGCTCAATGGTTGGTTTTATTATAGTTGATTCCGCCTTGAATCTGAAGTAGCAAGTGGGATCAAAGGGAGCTCTCGAAGAAAAGGGCAACCAAACCTCTTTGATACCTGCCTCTATCTAGCTAGGGAATGCAAGATTAGTCAGATGGCAAAGTTTATAGTGTGCTCTGTGTTGTGGAGGAAAATTTCTACTTCTCTAATAAAACGGTGATGTCCAGATGTGCACTTGAAGACGAACGCACCGAGGAAATGTACTGCGCCTTCTGCTTGTTCAGTGATTGCTTGGTCCTTGGTTCTTGTTGGATGATTTGGAGGATCTTTTCCCACTTGCGGCTTTTTGAATCATCGCATCCCTGAGAAGTTGATCCCGAGCATCACGCTTGGTGTCCTTCAAAACGCGGCAGAAAGCTTCAATGTCGGACAAGTGATCTTGCATGGTGGGTCCATTATCGACCACACCCATGGTTTCCAGGCCACCCCAAGTTGCGTTGCTCACGTTTTCCAACCCATGAACAACACCTTTGCCCACTCCGGAAGCGAGGTCTGCGAGACTGGAATGACTCCCACCTCTAGACGAACTCTTCAAGCTTCGAGAACTACCACTGCGGGACAAACTGCTGCGTCCCTTGCCATTCTTGCCCTCAGAGTATTTGCCAGGAGTTCGAGAACTTGTACTGCATGTACGAGACACATTCCGAGAACCAGCACTGCATGTACGAGACACTTTTTGAGAGCTTGCACTGCATGTACGAGACACATTTCGAGAGCTTCCACCCCGAGTAAGATTTCGAGAGCTTCCATTGCGAGAAAGGCCATTCTTACGGCGGCTACCGCTGCTGCTGCGTTTCTTGGGATCGTTTCCCGCCTCCAGGCAAGATTCTTCCATTGCAAGCTGCAGATCTTCCATCGAATTGAGCGTCATTATATTCTTGATGCGGTTTGCCTTGGGAGTCGATGGACCCTTGGGTGAGAGGCTGGGCTTGGGAGACAGGCTGCATCCGACGGATGCAGCCGCTGGGTCGGGACCTGAGAGCATGGACAACATCGTGGCAAAAGGCTTCCTTTGTGAATTCCTGTTCGAGCAACAGTCGGTTGAATGGATCAACAAAGTTAGTTGAAAAAATTGATTGTGGGATTGTGAGCCTTTCGTGCTTCCTGCCAAGCTTTCATTCTTTCATTAGCTCTTTCATTGCAGTCTCCTCTCTGATCACCAACGCTGCAGAATGAAAGGAAGCCTCAAAGCGGAAAGTGGCCTTGCCATGTCAGTTTTGAAACAGGAAATATAAGTATTAAAGATACCATTACAGATAGTTACGAAAAACGATTTACACGATGATCCCGCATCAAATCAATTCTCCGGCTTCCGCAATTATTGTGAACACTGCTGGAACGGGAGAAGGGTCATCAAGAAGCCTTTTCACCACTATCAAACCAACAAGACTACTAGCTAGTACAAGTACTGCTATCTATTAATTAATAGTACCGGGAACCCTTGTACGCTAGTATTAATAATCTACAGTGGGTAGTGGGTAGTCTCACTGGACATGAGCTTTTAAATCTCATTGAAGTTCAAGTCTGAGAGGGCTAGACTGGGCAGCGTAATGTCGACAGCTCCTTTTTATTACTACCATACCAGCTCACCGCTAACTGCACTGCTCTGTAGCTAGCTAGCTTCGCTTTCGTTGCAAGTGGTACCGGAACGTATGGTACTGGGTACGGTACCGGTACAGCACCGGTACTGCAGCGACTGCAGTCGATGGAAGCCAGTCCATCACTTCCCATGCCAACTGTCTACCGATACCTTGGACCTTGGATGCCCTCCCAGCCATAGCGACGAACAATCAGCAGTTCCGAGCGCCTCGGAGAATCCCTTTCCAGCTTCCGGTTGGATGCAGGCGGATCTTTGGATCCTTGCCCACACAAGCTGCAATGGTTCTTCCGCTGCCTTGAAAGGAATTGCTCACTCAGCTGTGGCAACTGAGCTTCTCCGCTTCCGTCCCTTGTTCCCTCGGTATTACTGGTGTGGTGGCTACTGGTGCAAGCTGAAGATCACGCAACGACAAAATATCCGAAGATATTACTACTAGGTCTAGTAGCGCTAGCCAGATCTCAGATCTCAAACCGCACACATCGCCCTTGGAGGTGCGCAATGGTGGTCTGTATGGTACATGTCCGGTACCACACGTACATGTAGGTACGTGTACTGATTGGCTGGCCTTTCCTCCGGTAGCCCTATCGATACCGTTGGCTGCAGGTTCATACAATAAAGGCATTTGTGGACAAAGCTTGCTCAGTACGGTATTCTACTAAGAAGCTAGTACTAGACTCTGTGAAGCTCTCTGTGATCAGAGGAACATGCAAGCAAGCTACCGGTACGCTGGGAATTTGTCTCCCAGCCGCGTTCTGATGTGTTCCAATCCCTTCGGGATTGCCCTCGGTCGCCTTCTCCTTCTGCTGCTCATAATCCATGGTCAAGTGGTTGGTTGTTGGCTATCTCTCAGTCCGGATGGACTGGGGGAGAGCCTCACAACGCTTGAGCTGAGCATGACCCAGAAGGAGATGTGAAGTCAAGGTCAGGATTGAAACCTGAACCTGGACTGAAGAGCTTCTTCTGACCACCACACAAAGCACCACACAAGTGGAGCGACCCCTGAAGGCGAAGGATGCCATGAGGAGAGGAGATGGTGACGGAAGAGATGGGAGAAGAAGAGGAAGGAAAAGTGGGGAGGAAATGTCGAGTTGGGCCGGTAGTGGATGGAGCCGGAATGATGCTGGGATGGCTCGCTGATTTAAGGAAATCGTGGGAGTGATTGGCGTATCGTGGGGAATCGATTTTTTGTCGGAGTGAATGACAAAGAGAGGGTCAACCGTGGAATCTGTCACGATTGTGGAGTGGTGGAATCGAAAAGAGGCACTCGATAAGAGACCATAAATTTGGTGAATGCCAAGGTAAGTAGGTAGAGAGTCGAATTTGTTGTTGGACTGGTGTGATGCTCACTGGTTGTGTGGATTGATTCCAAATTTGATTTAGGTGGACGAGAAAGTGTGTCGAAGTGTACAACAATGGCTGGTTCGGACAATGAAGGTGGGGAAGGAGGATCTCCCCGAGGACGGTCGGGTAAGGAGAGAGCAACCGATGTGTTTGCTCGAACGCAGAAGTTTGTGATCCTGTCGACGGCTCAGGGGTGTGATGTGTCGGAACAGGAGATTGAGGTGTGGACGCCGAAGTTTATGAGCGAGATGAATCCAGAGGTGATGGCTGGGATGGAGGAGGCCAATCGGTTGCGAGCTGTGTTTGGTGGTGGTGCTCCGATGATGACGCCAGAGGGGATGTGGTCGGACCACTTGGAGGCTGCGGATTCGGGGTTGGCCCCCGGAGTGTGGCAGGTGATGGCTCGCGATAATTTTTGGCGAGGAGTGGTGGAGGACGGGCCATTGACGCCATGGGACACCTTCCGTCCTAACGTGATGGGGATGGTGGCGGAGGATCTGCGCGAGGCTATGGCTGCGCATAACCATGACGCCAACATGAAGCGCTTTATCAAGATTCGGAAGAAGGATGCAGCGCAGGAGGTTGCTGTGGCTGTGGTGACGCAGGGCTTGGCTGATGTGACTGCTGGACGAGTGGAGGGTGGTCGTATTTTCGATCAGATGAAGGTGGCGTATGGTGAACGCAAACGAGAGCGTGATGACGCCATCATGGAGCGTGCGGTGCGTATTCGGTCTGGCGAGGAGGTTTGGGCGAGTGACAGCGAGGGAGAGGCGGAGCCGTGGGACACTGCTGTGTTGCCCTGAATGGTGGCTGTGGGCGCTGCGCTGAATGGAAGAGTGGCGTCCGGCGAAGCAAATGTGGGAGAATATAGCTGCGTGGGCGTGGTCGACGAAGAAGGTATCGGGACCCTGCGGTTACTCGCGATGGGAGGCATTGTGAAGAGAGCTTATTCAATTGGAAAGAAAAAGAGGCGTGAAGACCATTGCGGCGATGTATTGATGCCGGTACAGGAAATGGCACGATGTTGGCGATTCCGAGTGGAATGGCTGGCTGAAAAGAAAACATTCGTGGATAGTGACGTAACTTATAACCCGTATTAGGGGTCGCGCGTTAATATCCAGAAAGGTAGATATGCCGGCTTGTTTCGTATAAGCCTGAGCAATCTGGCGAAGGATCGCTGGAACTTGCGAGTACGATTGGTGTCATAACTTTGGACTATGACGCGTTTGGAAGATGAATTACGAGATTTGTGCCGGCTGATGCGGGCGATGCTGGTGCAAGTGGAATTGGTGTTGGAACAGGTAGATGGAGCCGATGATGTGACTGGGACCACTGCATCGTGTGAAAGTGGGGGTCGGATGGAGAACGAGAGTGACGACGAGAGTGAGCTTCGGGCAGGAAGTCGCGTGGAAGTGATCGTGGCTGACCAGTATGAAGGGAGAACTGGGAGGTCGAGGAGCTACGCAGTGGTATGTGCGATTGGATCGCAGGGGTGGAGAGTTGCGAGGACCGAAGGTGTACAAGTGTGAGAGTAGTTTGAAGCTATTGGAGTAGCTGGAAAGTGAAAATTGTTTTAGTTTATGAGGAGAGCGCCGCGGAACGCGGCTATTGTGAAGTCCTCCACCATGGTGTCGGTTTCACGTAGATAGTGATCGACACTCTCGGGTTTCCAACGAAGGCGAGCAGCGATAGCTGGAATGTCGAGGCCCATGGCACGAAGCACTAGAGCGGCAAAAACCCGGTTGGAGTGAGTGACGATGGCTGTAATGTGTTTGCGGTAGAAGTGATTGGGATTAGGTTAGGCATCGGTGCAGGCTTGACGCATGATTTTTTTGATGTCCTCGTCCTTGAGGAAGGTGTAGCCGCGAGGGTCGGAGGAGTCTTGGAAAACGCCAATCGGCTCATGGGGCTGAACACCGTGTAGAATAGCGCGGATAATAATAGAGATAATGGCGTCAATAGGACAGAAGAAGCCGGAGCCACGACGGTAGCGCATGAGTGTGAAGTTGCGGCCGCTCTTGTCAAAGCGCCAGCGTACCTCAAGTTCAAAGATACGGTCTTGATGGAAGAGAAAGAGGTCTTTGGAAGGGTTGAGAATATGACGATCGGCGGAGTAGAACGTGAAGTCATCACGGGTGAATGCGATGGGCGTGCCGGCCCATTTGCCTGCAGCTTTGGTATTGGGAACTTTGGAGTATTGGCCCCGGTTTGCGCTGTTTTGAGCATATTCAGAGCACCGACAGCCAGAGAAAGCACCGAAGCGAGTCCAGTCAAAGACTGCGGCTTTCATGCCGAGAGACGCTGCAGGATCAAGTGCAGATTGGGAGTCTAGTTGACGAAACAAGTTGCGGAACATGGGAAGAGTAAAGGGCTGGCGTTTTTCACGCGGTTGTTGCCATTTCTGACGCTGTTGGATTGGGTCATTGAGGAAAGGAATAAGTTGTGGTTTGGCTCCAGATTGGATATAGAGAGAAAAGGGCTCGGTGACGACAGAGCGAAGGTAGGCATCGGCGGCTGAGATGTAGCCACGAATGGTGTTGGCCATGATGGGTTGTTTGGAGACGGGGTCAATACGGTCGAGAAGAGTTTCAACGTAGGCCCTCATAAGGGAGGGGATCTCGGCTGAATTTAGGGAGCGTACACGATCCTCTTGGTATCCACAAGCGGATCGGAGCCAGGTACGAAAGTGGGTAGCGCGAGAGTCCATAGTCTTGTCATTTTTGTTTCGTACCATGCCTCGGTCTGTTCGACCGACACTAGCGTGGCAAGAATGGATAAAAGTTCGCATGGAATCGGGCAGATCGGTAGGGATTGCAGCACTGGAAGTCCCTCCATAATGGATGCCAGTGATGGCCACTTCTCGAACCGGGAGAGTCGGTCGGCTCCCACATTTTTGATGCCGCGAATGTGACGGCCCTGGACACGGAAGGATTCGGAAGCGAGAGGGTGAGAGAGAAAGGCTTGCAGAAAACGGGCAATACGACGCACAACTGGTCGTTTCGTTCGAGTGGCGTAGCGCATCCATGAGACAGCTGAAGTATTGTCGGCTAGATTGAGAATGCGGTGGCCACCGGCTGGGATGGGCGGTGTAGATGGAAGGAAGATGAGTTTGACGGTGATCCAGAGTTCAATGATGATGGCGATGAACTCAAGAATATTGATGTGGTGGAGAAGAGGATCGATTGCTTTTTCGCCATATTGTGGATTGTTGAAGCCGTATGATTGGGGGAGACCAGCGGCGACGAATTCTGGGACAGTGATACGCCACATGTGTTGGTAGCCTGATGTGGCACACCAACCACCCAGACCGTAGGTGCTGGCATCGGTAGCTGATTGAATAGTGGGGTCCCGAGGAATGATGAGACCGATGGGGCGACTCCATCCAGGGGCGTAGCGGTCCATCGAGATGGATCGGCGCAGCGCTTGAAGTTCTTTGATGGTGTGCTGGGGAAGGGGGTGAATAATGGGGCGTTGGTACCATCGGCGGAGCTGGTAGGAGCCGGGCGCTTTAGAGACTAGGTCATTGAAGTGGAATTGGAGGTGTAAGGAACGGTAGATTCCGATGGGGCTGACAATGGCAGCATGGCGAAGGAGGCCGACCAGTTGAGAGCAAGCATGGGGAGTGGAGCCGATGCGGGGTGTGGCGGTTTGTTGGGCGAGAAGCTCATCGAGAAAGATAATGAGTTTCTCGCGCTTCTTGGTGGGCCAGATGAGGCGCATGGTACGGGTGTCGATTTCGTATCCAAGGAATAGAAGGAGATGAGTGACGAAGGCTTGCCATTTGATGGGGTTGATGCATGGGGGCCGGTTAGGGTCGTCCCGAGGGTAGCCGAAGAGAATATAAGCTGCAGTGACACTGCAGTTGACTAGGCCAAGGAACCACTTGCGGATGTGAGCATTGCCGCTGTCATCAACAAAGGCAGGTTGTCGGCGTTCAGGGACCGGGCCGTGTGGGTTGCGGATGCTGGTGTGCTGAGAGTCTGGAGTGGCTTGGGCGAAGGAGAGGGCTTCGCGAGTTGTAGGTGGTGGCAGTAGAACCACGCTTTGGGTGAGATGGGAAGATCGTTGGGGGTGGGATAAGACTGGGTAAAGTGGGAGCACATTTCGCCTTTGATCATGTAGAAAGAAGGACTATTGCGAGCTCCAAAATAGTACCGACGGGAACTACCAGCATGTTACGCCAGACTGTGGCGAAGACGATGGCTAGGTCTGGATGATACAAGACGCGGTGGAAGGCTGCTGAAATGCCATCTGTCATTTGAAGGATCTCCTCGAATGGGTAAGAAATACGTAAGTTCCAAATCCAGATTAAGTAGCGAATAAGAGCATTACCGTAGTAGATAGGAGGATTTTCATCAGGGTTGACGCCTGGGTCGTCAATGAATCGGTTGGGATTGCCCGTATCGGTGGGCGAGAGAGGTGTTGAAGGGTCGACGCAGAGTCGAGGTTTGGGATCTCGCCATCGATAAGCAACTCGGAACATGCAGATGAAGAGGCCGGGGATGAAGCGCCAGAGGAATCGGGGAAGTACTAGGTGATAGCTGAGTTGTTCTTCGGCTTGGATTTTGCTATCAACGGCGTGACCATTCTTCTTGAGGTCGGCAGCTAGTGGTTCGCAATTTCGTGCAGCTGTATCTTTAGGATCGCTGACAAAGTGGCCTTCGAGAGGGGCCCCTTCAAGGCAGAGGCGGCGAAAGCGATCATAGTCAACTGGAGGAAAGCCAGGGGGTGGTTGGATGTGTTCCACGGCGTGAAATTGGTCAAAGACGGCTGACCAGTCACGGTGCTCGTCAGTGTATTGGCCGCCGAGCCAGCGGATCATGTCGCCGTAGCGAAAATTGAAGCGGAGAAGAGCACATCCCATGTCCAGCATGCGAGTGCTGCTGAGGGGTTCATCGGTAGGGGGACCACGTGGTTGTCGAAGATGGTCGATTTGATTGTGACGAAGGAAAGCTCGACGACGGAGACGTGCGTAGAGAATCATAGCAGGAGCGGCAACGCAGAGAGCGATGCGGTCGGTGGGAGAGAGGAAAGGCCAGGCAAAGTGGAAGAAAAGGCCGTATAGAGAAGTTTTGCAAACTGTTTGGCGGTTTGCGGATGCTTTGCCCCATCCGCGGAGGCGGTAGGGGTTGGGGTCTCGAGGGGGAGACAGTGGATTATCAGCGTAAAGCGGATCAACTGGTGCACATGTGTAGAGAGGAAGAGAAGGATCTGGAGGAGGAGGAGGATGTGGAATGTGTTGTCCTATAGGGAGTTGCTGAAATCCTGGCATTGCCGGGTGATGCGGTAGGAATTGGTAATCGCTGGATGGTTGATCAGCGTTTGTAGATCGGTGAAGTAGGATTTTGGAATTTGACGAGCTCTGGGATCGTCCAGTTCGATGTGGGCGAATGCGCAGGACGAGAGCCGGCATCCACGAGATTGTGCGACGACATAATTAAAACAGGATGCTTGCTTACCGTTAGGGGCTGTGGATTGAGGGAATGAAGGAATTGAGATCTTTGCTGAGGGATTAGATTTGTTGTGTTGAGAAATGAGCCGGGCTAGGGGAAGTGGGTTAGAAGAGCTGATGGGTTCAATGAGTGGTTTTGTGGCTTTGAGGCCCTCGGGTAGCTGTGTCCGCGAAGAGGATTATTGGCGTCGAGAGGAAGTAGAGTCACAGTTGGATGACTGTGTGGTCTGACGGTTAGAGGAACGAGAATCGTTCGAATGACGAGAGGTGGTAGATTGATCTTGTCGTTTAGACGGGAGTACTATATCAGGGAGGGTGACTGAGAAGAATCCGTCACGTGGGATACCTTGTTGGAGTTGGGCAATTGTGAATGTAGACCCTAACTGTGTGCGCCAGTCGAGGAGGGCGGTTTGGAGCGGTGTAGATGCATCAGTGACACAGTGAATGAGAAACGGGAAGTTGGTGGTGGAGTTGCGGCATCCACGGAGGAATGTCGTGTCGGGTGCAAATTTGGGTGTGTGCCAGGTGTAGAAGATGTCAAACAGCTGGTCTAGAGCAGCAAAGGCGGCTTGTGTGGCTCGGAGGCGGTCATCCGTGGACAGAGCGGTCGCCCAGTTATTTTGAAAGGATCGATCTTTGAAAATGTCGGCGAAAAATAATAACTGTCCGCCCAGGATGGAGAAGCGAGAGAAGGGGCTGTGACCGGGACTGAGGATGTGTGTGAGAGACCAATCCATGGTGAATAAGTGAAAAAGAAAGAACATGTTATATGCTATGTCGGCGAGAGCATTGGCTTGGAGCTCTTTCGCAGGGATGCGGGGGGAAGCTTGGTCGCTGTCGTTGTGGAGAGACCGAATGAAATGGAAGACGGAAAGGGAACCGTCAGTGAGATCGTCATTGTTGTCTACTATCATGGAGGCTGGGCGGAATGCCATGTTCTGGATGGCCTGAGTAATATTGGTGTCGAAAAAGGTGGGGTCGCAACGGCAGATGGGTCCTTGGAGTTCGGTACGTCGAGCGCCTTCGCGTGCTTGCTGTTTAAGACACGTTTGAAGAGCTTTGACTTGGGTGGATGTCTTGGCATCTTTACCGCGAGCAGCTGTGAGCTTCGCAAGAAAATCGCCCTCGAGGAAGCCTGGAACAATGTGGTTGGAGGGATCTAGGCGATGCGCTGAAGACTGGCATGTAGTGAATGTGAGAGAGTCGGGAAATATGGTGGCTGTGAAGAAACTTGCTATTCGAACTACATCTCGAGTAGGGGCGGCGGGGGTCGCCATGAGTTTGTGGGAAAAGAAATATTGGACGGCTTCCGGTTTAGCTTCTGTTGCGAGAGCTGTGGACTGGGAGTGAAGTTGGGAGAAAGCTAGGAAAGCGGGTGGATCGGTGGAGTTTGCTGGTGACGGAGGAAGCGGAGTGGCGTCACGGCGAGCCGCTGGGATGGCCCAGGGGTGAGTTGTGGAAAGCTGTTCGACTGTGGAGTGTGCTGCGAGTGGGTTAAAGATGGGTAGCGAGTCGTCTGACAGTTTGGGCTGCTTGGACGGAGGGGCTTCAGGGTCTGGTTGGGTAGACAAATCAATGCATTCTTGCTGGTTGTCTTGAAATTGAAGGCGTTTGCGAGTGGAGCCGGCAGCTTTATCGAACATAGTTTTGAGATTGTCGGAGGCCGGAGATTCGGCTGTGGGATCCGCATGTGTAGAACCAGCTAATAGGGTTGCCATAGCTGCTTTGTAGGCTGAGTTGGGCGAAGCGGGAGGAGGTTGATGGGTTTCCTGAGGGGGAGAAGGAGTGGTAGCTTCGGAGTCAGGGGATTTGGAGTGGGGTGTCTCCTGGGAGGAGCCAGGCGTAACTTCTGCGGCAAGCGGAAGCAGTGGAAGGGGGGTGGTGGAAGCGCCAGGGGAGGCACGAGACGCGTTGGAGAGAGTAATGGTGTGGCTCTTGTACAATTGGGCGTTCAGCGGAAAGTAAGTGGGAGCCCACTGAGAATAGAGTTTGAGATGGTAGCGAGTGAGCCAGCTTTTAGTGTCGGGAGGACGATAAGCAAAGATGTATGGCTGGTTCCAGATGGAGGAGGCATAGCCTAGAGGCGGCAGGATGCTGTCTGGAGGAAGGGCGTGGGCGTCGGCTAGGGCACGTTGGGCGTATGTCACTAGTTTGGCTTGCACGGCTGAGGAGCTACCGGCTAGAGCGTAGTCCCAGAGGATGGTGTGGATGATTGACCATTCCATATGACGGGTGAGATTAAGACTGAAAGGAGGAGGCATGGGGAGTGGTTTGAATGGGGCTGTGAATGCTTGATAAGATTCGATGATGTTGACGAAAATGTCGGGAGAGTCTTGAGCTGCTTGGTACCATAGCTCGGTGATGGGGTTCAAGAGCCACTCAATTTGTTTGGTGTCATCCTCATAGGCAAGATGGGCTATAGCGGCGGTGAGCTGGAGGAGAGAGATGTTGGTGATGTCCGCGACTAAACCGATGGGGAGGCCAGTGGCGGGAGGGAATGGAATTGCTTTGGGGGCAAAGATTGCACTACGCTAAAAGCTAGTGTAAAGATCTTTCAAGTGTTTTGAGTTTGAGAGAATGAAAGTTATGAGAGAGATTAGAAAGCTATGAAAACTAATCAACGAGAGAGATCATCATCAAAGGATTGTAGATCTGGCTTCCCGCGGGAGACTATAAAGTGTGATAGCTCCTTCTCGGAGGTGGTGATGAGTTCTAAGTTGGGTGTGGATGCTGAGAAGAATCGTCGGGGTGACGTCTGGAATCAGATGTTGTTGGCGAGGAATTGATGTGTCTCGGGGAGGTCTGCAAGACATTCATGACTGAGTTGTGGATTGGGACGAGTTCAAAACATGTTGCGGGCGTCGGGAATGACGCCGATAGGTAGGTCTGCAATGATGGAGTCGGGAGACGAGGAGGTGGTTAAGGAAGCATGGTGGAGCGAGAGCAGTGGCAAACGGGAGGCCACGGGCGAACGTGGGGTGGAGGGCACTTGAGTGGCCAGTTGAGTGTCAGGCGGCATGGAAGCCGACGGGAAGAGGCTGTTGGAAGAGCCAATGGAAGTGGGCGGAGCACAGCGGGGGGTCCCGTGATGCAGAAGGGGGGCTGAAAGAGAGCCGTCGGCAAGGCGAACTTGGCGATGAGGAGAAAACCGCCGATGTTACGGCGGGGCATGAGATTGTAGCTTCGGTGCGAGACCAGGCACGGTGTGGGGTCCGCTGCGAATGATTTCGCAAGGAGATCGAGAAGGAGTCCGAGAGGTGGAAGGAGCGGTGTATTTGCAGAGAGGCCATGAAGTTGGAATCCTGGAGGGTGGAGGCGGAAGCGGGAAGCGGCGATAGCCGAGGTGGAGTCGGATTGCATGATAGCAGGATCATTCCAGGAGTTGGAGCGGGGAAGGATGGAAGTGGGAAGATCTTGAGTGTGGACGAGCCGAGGCCCGAGGAGACCCTGAAGAAGAAGGGGCTGGGCGATGGCGGCCGTCGGAGAAAGAGGGGGATCGTTGTCGGTCATGGGAAGAAAGACGGAAGAAAGGGGCGCGACAAAGATGAAGAAGCAAAGATGGAACGGGACGAGATGTCGGATAGCGATGAGGCAAGGCAGGAAAACGAAGGCTTTGTACATCAACTGTTGTTGGTGTACAAAGACAAGAGAATAAGCACTTGGTGCTTGTTATCTTGTTGGTGCCAGCTCATCCAATGCCAATGCTGGGTGAGCAGGCACCACCTACAGTTACCTGCCGGTCATGCTGGCTTTAAGGTTGTGGACCCTCATTTGCTCTGCTACTGGTGCTTCACTATGACTGGAGTTAGTCTCTGCCGGACGAAGAGGAACATTCTCAAGAGATCTTTTCTTGCATTCTTCTTCGGGAGATCTTGACGGAACTGACAGTGGTACATCTCAAGTTTCATTATCACTTTGCCTCAATGCTGCCCTCAACCTCGTGAATCCCTTTCCGCGTAATAGCTAGCTAGCTAATAGTCGACTCTAACCACATAGTAACCCGATCTTTCCTAAACAGGATACTTGTACCAGAGAAGCCAAGCAAGGAGGTTCCTGTACCCAAGCAGCAAGAAGTTTGCCTGCGTAACTCTTGCCAAGAGAAGGTTGATCATAAATTCGTGAGGACAGTTTACCCTACCGAAACATTGGAGAATCCAGATTTCGCCCAAGTCATCATGGCACGAGAAAGCCTCCCACTTGTTTTTGCTGCAGGTGCAGTCTCTGCCGCTGTTGCCACAGTTTTTGCTTACCGCTGGAAGCTCAATTCCTCTGAAACAGAGTGAGTAGACGTGTTGACTTTTTCTTTCATGCAAATTGTAGTGATCAACTTCTCTCACTGTCGAGTCCTCGTTTCTTTCTTTTTCAGATTAATTATCAATTTGCCGGACTGGCTTGTTTCAGTGGTCAATACCAACAAGGACAGAGAATTTTCTTCGGATGATGAAATGATTTCCATGGCAGTGGCAATAGCATCTCAAAATGTGTCCGAAGGTTCTGGTGGACCCTTTGGTTGTGCCATTTTTGAGCGCGACATCCAAACAGGCAAGGCGAAGATATTTTCAGTGGGGGCCAACCGTGTGGTCCCATTGACAAATTGCACATTACATGCTGAAATGATTGCCATTCAATTTGCACAAAAGAAACTCAAAAACTTTTCCATGAAGGGAGCCAAGGAGGGGAAGGAGTATGTATTGTGCACTAGTTGTGAACCTTGTTGCATGTGTCTTGGAGGGACCATGTGGTCTGGTGTTTCAGAGTTGATTTGCTCTGCAGCCAAAGATGATGCAGAAAAGATTGGTTTTATTGAAGGTCCGGTCTTTCCCGAATCATACAAACAGTTGGAAGAAATGGGTATGAAGGTCAAGAGGGAAGTCAAACGAAAGGAAGGGGCGGCTGTTCTAGAAAAGTATGGTGAAACTGGAGTCATTTACAATGGGTAGACCAACTGCAACAAAATGCTCAAAGAAAAAACAGACCACACCTCCCCAACCCGCACTTTGCCAAGAAGGCATAGAAATCATGACAAACTGTTCTCAGTATCAAACAATGAACTTTGCTTATACAGAGGTAAAAAAAGTACTGTATTGTGATTCTTCTCAATCGTGCAGCATTGTCTCGGAAAGACTTGGGACCAACTAGTCGACGCTTTTGGATCATCAGTTAGGAGTGATCTCTGCAACTAGGTACAAACGTGCCGAATTTGACCTCTGCCATTGACATGAATGATTGATTCAATTGTTCGACCAGCAAGAGTCGCAGTCCGGAAGACCATTGCTTCTCCTCCATAATCAGTCAAATTTTGTTTCCACCACTGAAAACTGGAAGCTGTCGTAAGCCGGTACCAACCCAAACCTGTCGATACCACCGAGAGGAACCGGTAACAACAGCTTCGCTCGGCCCGAGGGAAGCCATGGCTGGGTACATGCGAGACAGATCCCTGCTTGGCGGTGAGAGGATTTAAAAAATGGCCTTTGGCTGTTACACGATGTAGTTGTATCCATTGTCACCAAAGACGTTTTTGTTTGTTTTGGGAGACTCAAGCCTAAGTGTGGGCTAATACTGTTTGTTGCAGAGGTTGCCAAGCTGGTGGTCTAATGGTACCACAATCTTGTCCACGGTTGGGTTCCACGATGCAAGTCTTTCCCTTTTAAAATTAGCGTGCGTGCGTGCAAGTGGCAATTCAATGGCTCGTCCTGATTGGCTGAAACGTAGTTGAAGCTCAAAGATCGGCAGTGCTCTCCATCTTCAAATCAACGGATCTCCTTCGTACGACGTGGCTCTTTTTTCGTTGAAATTGAGTTCTAGTCTACTCCGGTCGTTCACAACTTTTTTGTCCCTCAAGTTCAAATCAATCGAAACCATGAAGACTGCTATCCTCGCCTCTCTTATTGCCACCGCCGCGGCTTTCGCTCCTGCCAAGGATGCTGCTCGCACCACCGCCTTGAGCGCCGGATTCGAAAGCGAACTTGGAGCCCAACCTCCTCTTGGATTCTATGATCCTTTTGGAATTGTTGACAGTGCTGACCAAGAGCGATTCGACCGTCTCCGATATGTTGAGATCAAGCACGGACGTATCTGTATGTTGGGTGTTGTTGGATACTTGCTGAACGCCGCTGGAGTCTACCTTCCAGGTGACATTGACTACTCTGGAACCAAGTTCTCCGACCTTGGATACGGATGGGATGCCTCCACCAATGTCCCTGTTGCTGGAGCCCTTCAGGTTTTCGCCTTCGTTGGACTTTTGGAATTGGGTGTCATGAAGAGCATTGAAGGAACAGGAAACGAACATGTTGGTGACTTCCGCAACGGAGCCCTTGACTTTGGCTGGGACAGCTTTGATGAAGAGACCAAGCTTTCCAAGCGTGCTCTTGAAATCAACCAGGGACGTGCCGCCCAAATGGGTTTGTTGGGACTCATGGTTCACGACAAGCTCGGAAATGTTGAGGACTTCTTCTTCCCTGCCAAATAAGCAACCAATCGGGCGGAGGATAGTTGTAAACGTTACTAGAGTTTGTATTTGACGCTGCCACCTTTTTTTATGTATGTATTGACGCCTGCTGACAGCACGCGACGCATTGGTTTAACACGGCTTGAATCCACTGGGTTGTGTTGAGTTCAAAAGGGGCCCGAGCTTAGGCGGGGCGAGTCGGCGGTTTCAGATCAAGAGACCGCTTCGAAGGGTGTTCCAACCAGAAGAGGTGCAGTATCGGTATTATGGAATGCTCGTTGCTGCATTTGTTCCCAACGGCGATTGATCGTTCCCATCGTGTGGAGGGGGGTTGCATCTCTCTTGATTCTACTATGCCTGCAGAAACTGCATGTTTGGCGGGGACAAAGCTTCAAATCAATGCCACTACCAGGTAGCTACTAGTAGGGCTACTACATGTATTTCGTTCTATTTTATTCGTCTCATTGCTTCGTGTCTCCATGTAACTACAGTAACTGTTGGTTGCCTCTTGAATGTGAACCGAAAATGATAGGCCAACGAACACAGGGAGACATCTACTATCTCAGTGAATGTAGCATTACCAGGAGAAGAAGAACAGGACAGCCCAGGCCACAACACCCAGCACGAATCCAGAAGATTTTCCCGGTATGCCACTCGTAAAGTCTTCTTCTGTTGGGGCATCCGTTGGAACCACGGTCGTAGCGTCATCGTCGTCTGTTACATCTGGCGTATCAATATTGCTATCGGTAGAGGAAGTAGGATTGGTTGTTGCGGCCGCATCTGAATCAATAGGGAGCTCGAAAGAATCCGGGTCCATCACAATGGAAAATATGCTTGCCAAGGGATCAATCCCCTCGGCCTCCACCGCCCCATTTGATATGTAGGCAAATGTGACATCCTGCGCTGGAAAGTACACCGCTAGTGAAGAGAAATGATCAATCCCACCATTGTGGGCGATTCCTTCCCAGCCAAACAATGGGAGATAGAATACCCCCATTCCCATTCCTTCTTCCGCAGTGAAGTTTGTCATCTTGGAAAGACTTGTGGCAGACAAAAGCAAAGAATCTCCGTCCTCATTGGTGTGAAACAAGCCTCGATAGAAGGCAATCAGATCAGACGAAGTACCCATCAAGCTCCCTGCTCCACCGGGTACTGTCCAATGAGTCTGGTTGGTGTCCACTGTCCAACGTGGCTCGAGGAAAGAAATTGCAATATTCTCTTCCGCACTGGCATTTCGGAAGACAGCCGTCCGTGTCAAGTTCAGGGGCACCGCAATGTTCTGATCTAGATATTCGGCGTATGTCAATCCAGAAACGTCCTCGACAATGTACCCCAGAAGTACATAGTTGGTGTTGGAATATTGCGTTCGGTTGCCGGGGGAGAATTCTGGAAGGAACTCGTCCCCTGCCAGTCGATCCAGATGCTGGTCCTTGGTTTGCTCCGCCAGGAAGTAGTCCCAATACGTATCCAAGTCTGTTAAGGATTTTAATCCTGACTGATGCTGCAGTAGTTGCTGGATGGTTATAAGATCTGCATTGGGCATCTCAGGGTAAAAGTCTGCCAGGAGGGTATCCAGGGTCAAGAGACCTTGATCAATCAGCTGGAAAATCATCGTGGCAGTGAAAGTCTTGGTGATGGATCCAATGCGATATTGTGTTTGGTTGTTGGCCTCTATTCCTTCCAAAGCAAGCCCCATCTGGTAGTTGAAGATTTCCTTTCCTTGGATTGACAGGGCGACAGTGGCCATGACCAGATCCATAGGCTCCAGGTAGTCGCGAAAGTACAGGTCTAGTTTTTCAGCAATGAGGTCCGTGTCAAAGCGCTGCGTTTCAGCCACCGTAAAGGTGGCCAACCATGGCATCAGCAGGAGCGCACCAGTCAGTGTAGAAGCTACTTTCATCTTGTCTTTTGTTGGTTTTCAGTATTAGGGGGTCAGGGCTCAGAAGATTGAGATTGTGAGCCAGTTTAGAACCGCAGTGTTGGGTTGTACATGTGCGGTGGAAGCGAGATGAATAAAAAATGCATTTCACGACTTAAAAGATCTGCTTCGAGTCGTAATACGACTGAATCCTCGGAAGGATGGGAGTAGATTTCAATGGAGGGGGAGATCCACCCAATACTCGTACAGGTACCACATGTAGACCGACAGCCACTCTGGCTAAAATCAGTGGCTTCACACTGTCCTTGGGTCCAGATTTCACCCCTGGTTCCTTTCCTACTAGTACTTGACTCGATCGGGTTCCAGACGACTCATCGGCTGGCCTGACTACTAGTACTCGCCGGTGGACCTGTTGGCCGTTTCTCGGCCGTCCATGCCCTTGAGCTTGGTCCGAAAGATGGCCCAGAGAAGTGCCTTGAATGCGAATGTCGCCCTTCATCCAAGAAGTCAGAGTCGAGTCGGCTCATAGAAAGAGGCGAGGAAAGTTATGATGGAGTGAGATATTTCTTCCCTTTTCTTCTCGGCATCACAATCTCCAATCCTTGGCCTCTAGAGTAACTAGCTAGCTAGCTAGTACTGAGTAGCTATTTTAAATTAGATAGTATCCCCGATGTGGTTTTCAGAAGTAGACTAAAATGCTACAGATCTACAGATCGCCAACCACAGTTGGTTGCTCCACTGGTATAGAGATACTGTACTACTAGCTATTAATAGCAGCAGAAGAGATGCTCCAGAAAGAAAAATGAGTTTGCGGCTCTAGCTAGCTAGAAAGCTCTGGGCAATTGTTATGACTGAAAGTCATCCCGCTGTATAATTTCCAACAGATTGTTAATTCTGTGCGTTCTTGGTGGCATTCTAATTTTAAAATTGTGACTATGCCAACACTTATTTCGTTACAGTACAAAGAACAGTACCGCCAAGGAAGTTTTGTTTTTGCCAGCTTGACATCACCGTTTCCGGTGATTTAGAGAACCCGCTTTGCTTTATGTCTGCGGGACTCTAGCTCTCCAAAGCGGCACTAAGCTTGACTTACTCAAAGTCATTCACACTTGTGTCTTCTTGTATTTAGGCATTCAAATTGGATTTATCACCGGAATGCCGATGTGATGTTCTCTGCTCGTGGAAACCACGAAAGAAGAATGCCCAGTGTCTTCCAACGACGCGATTGTGAACATGTTGACATGACTGACTTGACAGTCATGCATCATGCATCCAACTGGAGGTAACCTAGCTACTAGCGCTAGGTAGTAGTGTTGTTCAGGTCCGCTTCGCCGAGATGCAGAACCTGCACCTTTACTTTCCTTTGTGGCCATCAGCACTTTCCTTTGTTTGTAGAGCCCCTAGTTGTACCTTTTACCTCATAATTTATTTTTACAAGTTGGATACGACGCCTCTATCAACAAACACAACCATGTTGGACTTGTTCTCGTCTTCTTCCGCCCATGGCTCTCCTTCTGACGGCCGGAAGAATGGTACCCAGAAACGCATTCCTGCCAGTCTCATGGAGATGCGTCGTGAATCGTTGGCAACGTCGGGCAAGTACAAGCTGCCCACAATCGAAGTAGGAGAGATTGACAACAGTCTCTTTGGTATGACACAACAAGGAAGGAACACTTTGGGCAACAACACTCACAGCAGTACAGTCGACGCCTTGGTGACACCCAGGAGGCAAGGTCCCAAATCGATCAAGTTGGCATTGGATCAAGCCACCTCGTTTCTGCAGAGGCACAGCAGTCCGCTGCTTGCAGATTTGGAGAATGAAATCGATGACAGTCCAAGACAACAATCGTCTGGTGGCAGCTTGCGTGGATCGCGTACCACTACGGACGGTGCCACCGACATGCAGTCTCTAATGCGGACCGGGTTGGCCACTCCACGTCGTACGGAACAACGCAGTCTGGCGGTCAAGCCGGATGCCTTGTTGATGCCATCCGTATCTTCGAATCACTCCAAGAGAGTTTCCAAGATGCGTTCCAAGTCCGGTGATGGCAGTAGTCCTCATAGTAATGGAAGTGAACGACGTCGTCGCCCCGTTCGTCGCAGCAAGAGTGTCGATGGAGACCATGTTGCTCTGGCGACGCCCCGAAGAGGGTCTCGCAAGCCCACCGTTCGTAAACCTGGGAGTTCTCGCAGCCGACGACCCGAGGAGGAGCCAGTGGTGGATGTGGTGGATTCCTCGAATAATACATCGGCTTCGTCCTGGGACAGCTTTGCCAATGGTTCCACTACTGGCAACAGCAGCAACATCCAGAAGAAGTGCCAACCAAAAGAATGGCTCTGCACTTGTGGAGAGACCAATGAAGGGGAACAGAACTTTTGTGGCATGTGTGGCTCAAGTCAGCGATGGGAGTGCTCGGACTGCGACTTTAAAAACAAATGCAAGTTCCGCTTTTGCGGAATGTGCGGAATTGCAAAGAAGGCAAAGGGCGAGCTCCAGTAACTAATAGAAGTGCAGTGCGAGTGAGCTGAGATGGGGGTTGATTCATGGGATGAAGCACCAAAGCACACCTTGAAGTGTATGGGATGGATGGATTGATACAGTACTTTAGCATGTAATCATAGCGGAAACAACTTTTTACGAATAGTTGTGTCTCAAAGTTGACTACTAGTAGCTCATAGCGCGTGATGGTAGCAGGGCAGCGTATCCAGTGGTACAAGCAAGGCTCAGCCGTGTCCATCTTGCTTCAAAGTCCCAAAACACAGACATCGCCGCTTCTTGTCATCTGTCAAAGTCGATTGATGGAAAATCCCTTCCTGCCCTTGTCTGTTCCTTTGTCGGCTTTGGGCAGGAGAGGAGAACAGGGTAGGTACGGTACCACTCCTGCTGCATGTTCGTGGTGAGAGGCACCAGGGTGGTTGTTTCCCTTCCCGTTCGACTTTGAAATTCGATTCGATGCGAATCTTTGATCGAACCATTCGATTTGAATGATAATCGAATCTTCACACAATTCCCTCTTGATGACAATACTGCTAGTAGTATCATCAACGATGATGGATCTTTGCCTCGTTCTCGCCATTGCTCTGGTATTGATCATGGTTGCACCCATCAACAGCATCCCTAGTAGCCTCCTGACTCCTGGTACTCAAGAACTGTGTGCAACGCTTCAGTTGGATTTCGACGAAAACAAGGATACATGCCAAGGTAATCATCCCAAAACGGTGCAAATCACCTGTCGTCCACAATGCTTTCATATGCGAAGCACTTCGGCCAACAACACAAACTGTACGGCAGAATACTTTCATCAATCTGTGTTTTCCAATGGACGCTGCAAGGGCACTCCTGAAGAACATTTTTATCGCAAGGGGGCTTGTACCCGTGGTGTTCAATTTGTCTCTTGTGAAGTGGGACCTTGTCCCGATTCACAAGGAGAGGATGACGGTGCCTTGTTTTGGCTGGATCAATGAGTGGGTGCCGGTACAACCACGAAGCGTAGCCGAGGCAAATTTTTCAAAAAGAGGCCCCTACTCGGGGTATGGATGACAAAAGTGTAGCTTGACATGGAGGTCTATGTGAAATTCTGTGTGTGTAGAGAGTCGAGTCGCTTCAATGTTTGCGTGTGGACAGTGGACAGGAAGAACAATCCTGGGTGTGTCACTTGAGAATCTGATTGTATAGCAGCAATCAATAAAACTGTACCGGTACGGTGCCGGTACTGGTGTACAAATAAAATACGTGACAAGCCATGTCCACAAGCTACAGTACCTGGTAGTTCCCTGGTTGTGAACTGCTTTTCATTTTCCCCCTTTTGTATTTCTACCGTGCATCAAGCATCTTGACGGCATCAACAGCTACAGAAAAGGAACCTGCAAGGCATTCAATCGGGCAAGCAACTTGGTAATTTGGAAAATTTTGCGTATCACTGCAGAAAGCATTCACGACATTGCACTCCTCCAACCAACATTTGGCTTGCTGCCATGATGGTACTACTCGCATTACAACAACAAAACAAACTAGCAAACAGCTATTAGCTGAGCGAAGTGGTCATACCCTATTGCAAAGCAACTTGCCAACTCACCAAATCCTTTCGAAGGCATATTTACGGACACACCCGTCGCATTATCGGTTGTCTAGAACGGGTCGGTGTTCAAGGGGCAGCGATGTCTATGACATATGGGAGAAACCAAGCTGTAAGCAAACGGCAGTAGCTGATACACTAACGCTGCACCGGATCCGTCCATCTGGGGGATTTCATCAAGGGCTTGCTCAGTCAGTCCGAAACACATTCAGCAAATTGACTGTTTTACTTTTGTACTGGTAGGTGGGGGATATATTAACTTAGCTTTATAGGTTATAATGCCCACACATACCGAATGGTCGTCATCAACGGAACACCTCACGAACCAATGCGCTTCTTGTTGCCTCGGACCGTCGGACCACACTTTTCTTCTTTTCTTTCTTGGATCCACTCAGCTCACTCGTGCCTCTTCAAACGAGTAACACAATCAAATGAGAGGTTTGTTTCTTGGTTGCTTCACGCCAATTGCAAAGAAATCTCCAGCCCAATAACAATATCAAAGATGCCAGCCTCCAAGACCCCAACAAACCGAACCGCCATAAAGGCACCGCCGATGTATGGCGAGCATCATCTTCGCTCCGAGAATCTAGCGTTTGACATCGACGTGTGGTACCCTCCACTGGCAGAGCACACGTTTTCCACTGTATTTTTGCCACTGAAGCGACGCGAGGCAGAGGCAATTGTGGCCTACTACAATGCCACTTGGCGGAGTCTGCCTCATGAGTTGACAAGCCAAGCGGTAGAGACTCTTTTGGCTCTAGAAGCTCGCATTGACAAGGCTCTTATAGAGCACTTTGCTAGTCGCGGCGCATTCCTACGGTTGTGTGGTCGTTCTCCCAAAGATGGAGAACCTACGGACCCAGTTCTCAGGTCAAAGATATGGGCCAGCTATCAATCGACTCTCCAGACAATGTCCCAGGCAGAGCAGATTCCCGTCACTGACGACAATTTGAGGGTCGCAGCGATTGCTAAAACTGAGTCTTGGATGAAGGTTCATAGTGGAGCCCATGCCATGTCCCTTCTCCTCACGTCTGAGCGTGTCTTTTCTGATATGATCGACTGGCTGCACTATGGTGAACCAGAGCAACTTGTCCTGAGAGAATTCAGTGATGCCTTTGATTTGTCCACCGAGTTTCGATGCTACATCCAAAGTGGAATTCTTCAAGGCATTAGCCAATATGACACCTATGCCATGCACTCGTATCTCCAGGATCCTTCCAACCGAGCCATTGTAATCCGAGCAGTGGTTTCAGAATGGAGAAAAGTCAAGGATTGCATTGAAACAATCGATGGGAGTTACTGTGCTGACTTTGGTGTGGACATGGTTCAAAGAACAGCCCAGTTCATTGAACTCTCTCCATATCGAAAGTGCACGGGTCCAGCCCTCTTTGCCTGGAAGGGACCAGCAGAGTTGGTTGTTCCAGAACGTCCCGATATTCAGGACGATACCGTGAGGGATCTTGTTCAAATGGGTGGCGCAATCGCGGAACATGCAGTCTTTCGTGTTCGATCCAAGCCAATTCCTGGGATTGGTGGTTTGGTTGAGATGAATTGGGACTTTCGGTGGTCACAACGAAGAATGGATACACCCAAGCCTTATCGAAACGTGTGTTCACACGTTATGGCAAACACAACCATTGCAGAAAAGACAATCAACATTTTAAAGCATATACAGGAGAGGTTGTCCGAAAAGCAACACGTTCTGTTTGTCTATGGAACTTTGAAGCGAAAGTGTCATTGGCATTCCAAATACATGACTGGTGCTCATTTCCTTGGAGAAGCCTCCACCGTCCGCCCTCAAACACTTGTCATTGGCCAGTGCGGAGTTCCTTATTTGCTCGACCTTAGGCAAGATGATGACGCCAAGCCCGTTAGAGGAGAACTATGGAGACTCTCCGAGGAAATGCTCCAGGGTATTGATGAGTACGAAGGCATTGAAAAAGGTCACTATGTGAGGAAGGAAATTGAAGTAGAGTGTACAAGGCGACGAGGAACAACAGCTATCTGCAAGGCATTCTGCTACTTTTATGCGATAAAATCGGGTGCATCGGATGTAGAGGCTTCGTTGTTGCAAGCAACTAGACTCGCAGAGTATCCAGCTGGCGAGCAAAAGTCAAACTACAAGCCTATTCATCACATCCAAGTAAAGCAACTCCAGTACCTGGGCGAGCATGCAACCACCTAACTATAGGATGAGTGTTTCTTCGAAAGTCTGGCTAGCTGCAACTGATACTTCACTTTTCGCGTGCAAGTTCTCCTGTCGTTCCCGTCCTGTCCTGATGAAAGGCTTAGTGCCTCGTTTCCATGACAAAAAATGGCGGTACCGCCACAAGGCGGGTGCTCTAATATAGACTTGTAGGCCATCAAATAGTGCTGCTACAGACCTCTTTTGGCAAGGAAAGGATGGAAAGAAGTGTAGTAATCAAACCGTGGGCTATAGAGTGGGTTTACCTTAGTTTCGAATATCGCGCGGCGCCATGGCCAAAATTTGACTCCACCACCTCTCGACTCCGTTACACAACAACCAACCAACCAAAACCTATCAAATAAGAGCTCTGTAGTCAAAAGAAACAATACATTAGACGATGGCAACATAATGATTAACAGGTCAGGTTTTCCTGCGTACCTGTTGACCGTGTTGGCCGAAAGCAATGCTCCCGCTACGGATCCGCAGTTGGATGCAGATCTTTCCAATGCTCCAAGGGCCAGTGGGCATCGCAATAGAACATACCCCTTACTCTCCTGCCGTTGGCATTGTAAGCATCACTCATACACGCTTGATTGCCACACATCCAATGCGTTTCTTTCTTGCAACCATCAGCCCGACATGTTCGCCTCTTTGGTCTGCCAGATGCTTGCTGATCCGGATTGACAATCCTCGTGTGCGCATTGGAAAGGTCTGCAATGGTGCTTGCAACTGAGATTGGAGACACACCACCGTCATCAGCAGCATAGCCCGTGGGAACTTCGACTGTAAGCACCGGTGTCGGCATTAGATTCAAAGTGGTATCAGCATCGATCGTGTCAGGGAACTTGTTTCGAAGACAATCACTCGCAACTCGATCGGCAAAGCTGACAACGCTCATTTCCTTTGCTTTGGCATCGGCCACATGATGACGAAATGCCCTCCAGCAATCAGTAACAGTCATGCCAATGAGAGTTGTGTCCAACCGAAACCAACAGTCTTGTGTCACCCATCTCTTTTCCATCTTGAGCTCTCCTTGTCGAGCATGGTTGTGCGAGTCGATGACATTGCTTCTGATGAAGTAGTCACTAATAATCTTTGGCCTGTCGACCTCACGGTAGCAGACGTTGCCAATACTATCAGCAAACTTCGCGATGTAAGGCTTGCCTTGCTTTGTTGAGCCCGCATTCTTGGTGGCAAGGAAGCAGAGCACCTTCCTCTTGTTGTATTTGTAGCCAATAGCCAACATGACTTGTCCATTCCTTGGGCTACAGCACTCCATTACAAGTGAAGAGCCGCTACTCCACCCTTTCATCTTGGCTTGCAACTCTTCCTTGGGAAAGAGACGATGGTTCGACTTCATCGCTCCACAATAGTTGTGGCCTTTGTCAGCCATCCACTCTACAACAGGCACACTTGTAAACCATGAGTCGCCAATAAAGAACTCCGACTTGTTGTCGGACGCAGCCTGCTGCCTTGATCGCACTTCTTTCCACAATGCACAGCTGCTTCAATCAGTCTGAACGTGCAAGCAACTGTTCCACCAAACTCGCCACCATATTTCTTTGCCTTCATTGCCTTTTCTCCCTCCTGAATCTCGCAGTGGAGGATGATGCCAGTGTCGGAGCAAGCCACAGTCTTGAACTCAGTGCCAAGCGGCTCTGGCTTCCTACAAATCCATGAAATATGCGGCAAACCACCTGTCTTCGTTGTGCGTGGACGCCATGCACTCATTGACTCATCCATCACCTTTCTCAATGATGCTGCCACCCACAATGAACGGACCAAGTTGTAGCCATTAACAATGCCTCTGATCATGTGCCAGGGATCGCCTTCTTCTTCAGCATCCTTGTCTTGGAAGCCATAAGGAAAGACTTGTCGCAAATCTCTAAATCGATGATCTCCTTGCCATCGATTCCATAGTTGATCGGCTGTGTGGCTGTCCAGATGTCTCTATCCTTTTCCCAGAGCAAGTGCCCACCCAGTCGATGAGCGGAAGCAGCAATCAGAAGCCCGATGAACACCCAAAACTCGCGCTTAGTAATCTTGCGAATGACATGAAAAATACATGAAGCTCTTCTTCTTTCTTCTTTCTTGGCATCTGCATTCACCACATCAATCCGATCGTTCATCTGAGTCCTTTGAGCATCCCAGGAACCAGGCCAAAGCTCAGAGCAGCTTCAAGAAGGATATCATAGCATGATTGTCCTTTGGCGACACGAATGCGCTGGAACTGGTCAAATCAAAGACGTGAGACCTATATCGTGGATACTCTTCACCATGTCGTATTAGTACAGAGTGTTCAATTAAAACTTTCGTTCGTAGACATCTGGAACATAAATCTGAACAAGTGATTGAGGTGAGACATCCTCTGTTTCGTCGTATCCATCAAAATGCACTACCCATTTGCTATCGTTCCGATCCACAATTGTCCCTTGTCGGTAGTTCCTTTTCGATCTTGTTTCAACTCTGACGCCGACGTCCAAGGGGCCCCTTGCACTTTCCTTTTCCACAATCCAGCCTTCTTCGATGAGCTCAGCTTTCTCACGACGATAGACTTCTTCTTGAAGCTTGAATTCTTCCTCCGTCTCGACATGATTCTCCTCTCCCGGGATCACATCTTCCTCAAGATCATTGAGGTGAGGCATTGGTTGCTCGTTGTTGGTGGCTTCGTCTTCTTCTTGTAAGGACTGTTCCTCTTCGGAGAGTTGATCTGGTGGTTGTGGAAAGCCTCCGTTACTGCTCTGATCGTCGTTGTCGCTGTCAGGTGGTTGATATGTAGTCCAATCGAAATCTGGTCCACGAGACGACGAAACCGACGAAGACGAAGAGGTAGATGCTCGTGCTGGTGCCGGCTCTTGTTCTTGGACTGCGGGGGTGGGGCAGACTGCATGGTTGATAGCTGCTCTACGTGTTGGTCGTCGCCAAGGAGTTGCGGGAATGGCGGGTTGCTCATCATCACTGGTTGTAGCCACGACGGGAGGCTCGTTGGTTTCAGCCACCACGGGAGGCTCATTGGCTTCATCATTCGTATTGATGTTGGCTTGGACTGGATCGATTGCTTGCAACGCGCGAGAGCCTTTTGGCTCTTCAGACTTGGACCCATCCGCATTTGTGAATTCAACTATCCATTGATGCTTCTTTCCGTCCTCCCTGTCATGCCTGAGAATCACTCCATGTCTACCTGGCTTTGCCCTCTCTTTGACAGCGTCACCGGACTGAAGGTTTCCTTTTCTTTTCGTCATGGTGGGCTCTATCGTTGTGTTGACTGACCGCAAGCTATCGATCAACCGTGAGTGCACCGCCACTTGTCGATCGAACTGAATCAGAGTCGATCGCGATCGCGAGTACCTCTGAAGAAGCTTCCATCCACCATCCACATGCTCCAAATTTTCACCACATGACATGGTCCGCTCTCCTTGATTATGAAGCACCGCATTGGAGTCTTCTTCGTGTTGGGATTGACGCCTCTCGTCTAAACTTGAGAGTGGCTGGATGCTAATCCACATTCGAGGAGTGGTGCACGAGTGATCGGAGTGAGTATCGACCGGATTGCCTCCGACACTGCCACGTCACATTTGCTACTATATTTTGCATAGTAAATCGCCGGGCATCCTCGATCTATCGATTTTTCGAATCGAAGCCTTCGCACAAACGAAAATAAAGCACCACAATGACCAATAAAGAACAACAGCGGCGAAAGGCAATACGGATATATACGATGCTATAATGTTACTCTGGTTGGCAGCTGCTACCTGATACTAATACGCTGCTGTGACTTGTGGTAATAGGGCTAACCCCAGAACTCTTGGGAAGCTTCAACTTCGGGCAACTCATCTCCATCATTGACCAAGCTGGTAGCGAAATCTCCACGTCGAAGGTTGCGGTTTCTGGTTGTACGAGTGGTCCTGGTGGCTGCTGGTTTGACAGCTGCCTTGGCAGCCGCCTTGGTGGGGGCTCGCTTGACGGGAGGAGCTGGTTTCTTGATGGGAGCTGGTTTTTTGTCAGGAGAGTCTTCAATTTCAACAACCTCTTTCTTGACCTTGGCAACAGCCTCTTTCTTGACCTTCTTGGCAGTGCGAGCGGCTGGCTTCACAGCTTTCTTGATGGCAGCTTGCTTGATGGCTAGCTTCTTCTTGTTGCTGAAGATGCATTCCAAATCAGAGTCGCTTCCAGAGTCGCTTTCAGAGTCGCTTTCAGTTTCAGCAACCCTCGACAAATGTGTGTCATCAGAATCGGAGCTCACTTCGCTTTCATCTTCCGAATCATCCTTCTTGCTGTTAGACTTGTTGGTCTTCTCCGGAAGAGGCTCATCGGCCGTGGTCGTCTCATTGGTTATCTCCGTCAGAGAAAGCTTGAACTTGCCGACGGCTTGGAAGCTCAGACGAAAGGACCTACCACCATCATTGAGGTTGAGAGAAAGGTCCAACTCGGACTAGCTTTCGATCGGTTTGGAAAAGGACGACATGAATGCTTGCATTGCATTAGGGTTATATTGAGATCGTCAGCACAACTCGGACACATGTGGAAGTATACCCTTGCAGGAAGAGCACCGTTGCCGCCGCCCGCGGGCGGGCCAGAACGAGTTTGGAAACTTGCTTTGGGGTTGTTGTTGATGCGAAGAAATTAGCGGGCAGAAACTGCTGAAGTCCAATGCATAACTCTGCATGCCGAGCCCATGCGTCAAATCGCCAAATCTAGTGAGATGGATAGATAGCGATATGTGCATTATC